GTGTGATGACAACAGTCCGGCCAGTTTTTTTGGAGTGGTGTTGACGCGTGCCATGGTGGATGCGCGCCGGGGACAGCGGACGGATGCCAGCAGCGCTAGGCCGGGGTAGAGATGAGGACGCGGGCCATTCTGTCTGCTGTTGCGTCACTGCCGGGCGGGCAGGCCGTTCTGGCCGTTGGAGGGGTGGAAAGTAAGTACATGTGTATTACAAACACATGTACATGTAATGTCGTAAGTTGGTGGATACGTACATGCGCGTGGGTGGTGTGTGCTAGTATGAGTCGTAGGTTTGTATTAGTATGCGAGGTTCAGTGACTCGCCGTCACGTGAGCCACCTATTCGCCTCGTCGATCAACTGTGTTCGGAGTACGATGGCCTACGCGCCTCAGGAACGCCCCCCTAGCGCTGCGCCACTCACCGCCGCGGCGAACTGTGGCGGTGCATCTATGTGTCTGTGTCTGTGTCTGTCTGTCAAAGAGGGTCCCCACTCAGCTGGTTGACGACAAGAGATTCTGCCTAACCAGCGCAGCACATTTCTATTACCTTCGCAAGCAGACCATCGACCAGGCACAAACGCCTGTAGCTTGGATACATAGCCGACGTGCAGCCTGCTTCTCTCCTGCCTGCCTCTCTCTACCTTTGCCATCGCGCTCTGCCTGCCACCACGACTGCTTTCCACTGCGCCATCGCGCCAAGACCAGCTTCATCATCCCCACCTCACCTACAAGAGCACCCCGCCCATCCCCAGCGCCATCTTCAACCACCCACGCACCAACCGCCAAGATGAAGATCACATTCAAGGTACGCGTCTGCTCGAGCCAGCGGTGCCCGAGAGCCCTAGTTGACGCCCGTGCAGGACCTGAAGCAGAACAAGTTCGTCATTGAGGCCGAGCCTTCAGAAACGGTATGCAGCGCCCGCCACGCCTTGCACATGGCCCTGGCCCTGCCCCTGGCCCAGCTAACACATTCACCAGATTGGCGCACTCAAGTCCAAGATCCAAGCAGAAAAGGGCTGGGAAGTCCCTCAGCAAAAGCTCATCTACTCCGGTAAGCTTGCACAGCTTTCTACCATGCTCGTGGCCACCACGATCGCTGATACAAACAAACAGGCAAGATCCTCCAGGATGCCAACACGGTCGAGTCGTACAACATTGAGGAGAAGGGCTTCATTGTCTGCATGGTCTCCAAGCCAAAGGCCGCTCCTGCTGCATCTTCAAGTAAAGCTGCGCCTTCGACACCTGCTCCCGCACCAGCCCAAACACCCTCAGCTCCCCAAGCTCCTACTCAATCATCAACCACGCACAACGCCCCCGCTACACCTTCGCCCGCGCCCGCACAGGCATCGGGCGAGCGCTTCAATGACCCATCGGCGCTGACCATGGGTGGCGAACGTGAGGCCGCTATTGCCAACATGGAGAGCATGGGTTTCGCGAGGGCTGACATTGACCGGGCCATGCGCGCCGCCTTCTTCAACCCCGACCGCGCGGTTGAGTACCTGCTGACGGTAAGACGAGTGGCGCTCCAGCTTGGTTAAGTTTATTCTAACCTTCGTCTAGGGCATTCCCGAGAGCGCACTACAGGAGCAGGCGCAACAAACACAAGCCCGTGCACCCAACTCGCCCACGCCTGCTGGCGGAAATGCGGGTGCGACTGCGCAAGCTAACCCTTCGTCTGGAGGCGATGAACCCATGAATTTGTTCGAGGCTGCCGCCGCTGCCCAAAACCGGGGTGGTGCTGGCGGTGCTCGCTCTGGTGGTACTGGAGGTGCTGGCGCTGGCGCTCTCAACGCCAACTCTCTCGACTTCTTGCGCAACAACCCCCAGTTCCAGCAGCTACGACAGGTGGTGCAACAGCAGCCCCAAATGCTTGAGCCCATCCTGCAACAAGTAGGCGCAGGCAACCCACAGTTGGCTCAGATGATCGCATCCAACCCGGAGCAGTTCCTGCAATTGCTCGCAGAGGACGCAGATGAGGATGCGCCATTGCCACCAGGCGCCCAGGCCATATCCGTCACGGAAGAGGAGCGCGAGGCTATTGAGCGCCTGTGTCGCCTCGGGTTTGAGCGTGATCTGGTTATCCAGGCATACTTTGCGTGCGACAAGAACGAGGAGCTGGCCGCCAACTTTCTCTTCGACCAGCCTGATGACGCTGACGACCAGTAGTCGCTTTTGGCTCTCTGTGCCATGACTGTGCGACATCACCATACCCAACGCGTCCGTTTCTCCGTCTGATATCACGGTTACAGTGGCACACCCAAAAGTCCTCTCCTTAAAATGGACAAAAATCCATGTCGAGTCGATTGGCGTCGGGCGGTCCAATGCAGTGCTTTGGTCGCGGGTTGCGGCTTTCGATAGTTCCATTGCTTTTCTATGATATATAATACCTTCCGAATGGGGTACGAGGAAAGAGCTGGGGCCTGCTGGATTTGTGGCATGTAGTAGATGGACCAGCAGACGCTTGCTAGGCGGGAGAAATAGCTTATCAATAGAAAAAAACTATTCCATTGTTCATTTTCAGAATCAGAGTGAGGTGATCATATTTGTAGAGTTTTGAACTGCTTCAAGCGAAGTGTTGACGTAGTAGAAACCTTTTATTCTTCGTATTGGAAGTCACTAAATGAATACTCTGTGTTGGCATCTAATGAGAACCCACCCAACATACAACATCAATGAAATGCATTGAGGAAGGAAAGGAAAGAAACAGGAAGTCTAAAGCTCAACAGGAGCAAGCTTCCTCTTACGACTCCTCTTCTTCTTTTTCTTCTCTCCTTCCACAATATTGCTCTCACTCTTTTCTTTGTTCTTCTTCTCCTTGACCGGACCATCATCATTCGGTGCCGCAGTCTCCTCACCAACAAGCGCCTCAAACCCGCCCTTTGGCCCCTCGGCATCGCCAAATGTATCCTTGCGCCACTGCCTGATTCGTGCCTTCTTGCTCAAGAACTTCTTGTCCTTCTTCTTCTTGACTGGGTCACGGAAGGTGGCTAGTTTCTTGAGACCCGCAAACTCGTTGAGGGCCTTGTCATCGGCGAGGAGGATGTCGCGGGCTGTAAGGCCAAATGATGTGGGTGATGTTTCGCGGTAGCGGAAGCGGGAGGCTGCCTTGGAGGGTTTGGCGGCGAGGGCGGCTTCGTATTCGAGGCTTTGGTTGACGAGGTTCTCGATTAGGCGACGGTCGCGGCGAGCTGTTGATTTTGCTTCTGTGCGCTCTTGTTTGAGCTTCTTGGAGGATTTCTTGGTGGAGGTGCCGGTTGTTGGATCTTCTACGTCGTCATCATCGTCGTCTTGTTCTTCGTCGGCGTCAGCGTCGGCCATTTCATCGTCGGAGGATAGGTTCGGTTGCTCTTCTTCCTCGTCGTCTTTGAAGTCGGGGACCAGGTCCTTGATGTCAATGTCGTCGTCAAACTTGGGCTTCTTTGGCTTCTTGCTCTTCTTCCCCTCTTCTTCTTCTCCATAGTAGGCATCTCCAAAGCGCTTCTGCATCTCGGCATCCCACTGCTCATCCGACCAGTCTGCCTCTAGCACGTCTTTCCACTCATCAATATTGAAATCTCTGCCGCTCAGTCCTCCTATCTTGCGAATCTGCTTGACCTTGTTCTCCATCTCTTCAACCTTGAGCTTGCGCAGTCGTGCAAGCTCCTGCTCCTTCTCTCTCTTCTCAGCTTCGCGCTTAGCCCGCGCAGCCTCACGAGCCTTTCTTCGGCCACTCTTTTCGTCTCGACGCACTGTAGTGCTTGCGACAGCGTCACGAGCATATGTCATAATCTTCTCGTTCGCGCCGGTAGTGTCTTCAAAGTATAGGTTGTACGAGTTCTCCCATTCGTCGGCAGCGGCATCCTCATCTTCGTCATCTGACTCGAGCGGTTGGAAACGGGCAGACTTGGTGGGCACCCAGGCGCGGGAAGCCATGAAATTAGACAGGAAGGTTTCTGGATCTTGGTCGGCCTTCTCAACATCCTCTGCTGTGATCTTGGGTCGGTCGTCCTTGGGCTTCTCAGGCTTCTCCTTAGCAACGATAAAGTCGTCGTCGTCTTCACCATCACCAGCAGCATCCAGAGCCTTGACGAGGTCCTGGCGGGCCTCTTCCTGCTCTTGCGCATATGTCTTTGGCGGCGCATCCTCCTCTTCATCGACAGTGAGTTTGCCCTCAAGGAGATTCTTGGTGTGATAGTCTCTGAGTGTCATGGGCTTTTCTTTTTTCTTGTCTTCTGCGCCATCGTCGCCCTCTTCGGGATCGCGGTAGAACTTGACTTCTTTATTGTAAATGCGGGGGTCTTTTGCGCGCAGAGCCTGAAGAGTGGCATTGACTTGTTCATCGAGGTCTTCGTCGAGCAGATCAGCTGCATCGTCTTCTTCTACGCCCTCCTCAGAGTCTTCCGACTCGTCATCGTCGCCGTTGGCGAAGGCCTTGTCTTTGCCGTACTTTTCCTCAACTGTATCCAGTTAGCGGTAGACTGACAATGGATAGGGCATCAGCATACGCCTGAACTGCTCAGCACGCTTCTTGTTGTGCTCGAATCGGCGCGCATAGTCCTCGTTGATCTTGAGCGATGCCTGACCGTCGTCGCTGTCGGAGCCCTCGTCGTCGGTATTGTCGAGCAGCTTCGCCTTTTTAGCTGGCGGCTCAATGGCGCTGTTGAGCTCGCGCTTGGCACGGCCGGTGCTGGTCTTGTCCTTTGTGGCCGCCATGTGGTGTGGCTCGAAGTTGATGTCGGTGTTGGTGGAGTGGCTTGCTTGGTCACAAAATTTTGGTGGAGCAGGTGCTAGCGCGTGAACCCTGACGTTGGCCGCGGCAGTGACGACCCACGGCCGCATCCCAAGGGAACCCAGGGTCGGGCCCATGCATGATCAGGACGGGACGACAAGCAGCACCACGCGACACTATTCCCCCCTCATGACTTTTGGCCATGTATTACAGCCTCCATGTTTACTTCTGCCCTGGCCTTTTGTAGATACCTGTCTTCGTAATTTTCTTTTTTATAAGCGGAAGCGCCCGCACCCATGGCTGAGGAGGAGCCACCGCAGCTCAGCGTAGAGCTAGTATCAAGGCCACTGGACTTGATGTATGTTGCGAGAGGCTCCATGGACCCCCTATTATACTTACAGCATACAGACCAGTAGTAATTAAAGAGGCCGCTCTCGACTCACCCACCTTCCGCGCAACCGCTGTGCACTACGGCGACCAGATCGAACTTATAGAAAGATGGCTCGACTCCTTTGTCCGCGCCACCTCGAGGCTTGCAACCGAATGCAGCAACATGCAAGCACTTGTAGATACATATGTTCAAACTTCACACCCACCGTTGCAGCTCTCTGAAGCCGTCGTCGACCATGACTACACAGTCCTGGCCCTCAAGCGCTTTGGCGAGGGGGCGCGCGAATATTGGAACAGCGCGCTGCGTTGCATGAAGCGCGCCGAGACAACCATGTGCGAGCCATTGCGAGCCTTCATCTCCAATGACTTGCGCGTGTTGAAGGAAGCCCGCAAGAATCTAGACTCCACCCAGCGCATTTTCGATCTAGCCATCGCACGGTATGCAGGGCAGATCAAGTCAAAGGAGGCTTCGTCACTGAGAGAGGATGCTTTCCAGTTGCACGAAGCTCGGCGGGCATATCTCCAGGCCAGCATGAACTTCTGTGTCCTGGCGCCTCAGGTGCGCTTGACTCTGGACAAGCTACTCGTCAAGATTGTGCATGAGCAGTGGCGTGAGATGAAATCCGGAACCGAATCCTCTGCAAAGGGCTTCACCAATTGGACGTCGGATGTTGAGCGCGTGCGCGGCTGGAGCAAGGAAATGGAAAACGGCGAGCGTGTCTTCAAGAGAGAACTGCATCTTGCGCGACAGCAGATCGAGGCCGCTGCTGAAGTAAACTCACGACCATCGCGAGATCTTGATTCGTACGCTGCTTCGACTGTTCCCTACCTTGGCACAGCAACCTCGACTGCCAATTTACAATCGCCAGCTAAACCAGACCCCGGAAGCGAAAAGGCAGAGAAGCAGGGCTGGCTGTTCCAGCGCACAATCACGGGCAAACCTGCCAGGACTTATTGGGTCAGGCGGTGGTTTTTTGTCAAGAATGGCATCTTTGGTTGGCTAACACAAGGAACACGATCCGGTGCCGTCGAAGAATCCGAAAAGATTGGCGTGTTGCTCTGCGGTATTCGACCTGCATTTGCAGAGGAGCGACGCTTTTGTTTTGAAGTAAAGACAAAGGACACCACTATTCTCCTCCAAGCTGAGACGCAAAACGACATAACCGAATGGATTTCTGCGTTTGAAGTTGCCAAGCGCAAGGCGCTAGAGGATACATCCAAAGACTTGTCTGGTGCTGGTTCCATCGACGCCGCATTCTCTATCAGCCCGCCTGTAGCCCCTGAATTTGCTGCAAAGACTTCTGAAGGCAATGTGGGCCTTCCTGGTGACGACACCGCCAATACGGATCGCCCTGACACTCTTGGTCCTCCAGGTACCGATAGCCTTGCGGTACGTGGAAGTTTTGATGTGACTAGGCGTGCTACTGGACTCGAAGGTGATGGCAGTCGTCGCGATCACACTGCCCGGATTATGGAGAAGCTTGACCTTACTCGAAAATCAACAGTCGGCCCCCAGCTTAGCGGAAACAATCCCTCTTCTGCAAGTGGCGGCATTGCCAGCCTCATATCTGCCAGTCTTGCTTCAGCTAGTCATAACCTTGTACAAGCTGGACAAATCACAGCACCTGCAGTCGGACTTCCCGATACTCGGCTCGTCATGGGCCAGACGCTCCCTCACACGACACTTGCTCCTTCTACGCTTGCCGGTCCACCAGCACCAACAAATCTAAGTAAAGCTGCAGTTGCTGTGAGCGGCGAGCGCGGTCTTGGTACTGGTCGTTCGGGCAACATGCCTGGTGGACTAATGGCCAACCTATGGGGCTCAGTCAATTGGGGGTATGTCAATATTCTAGGCGAAGAGGAATCCAGCACCCGCGTCGGACCTCCAAGTTCACCAGATCCTTCGTCTGGCTTCATGTCTGATGACAAAAAAGCCGGAGTAGGAGGCGCATCAGCAGGTCCGGTCAGTGTAGTACATCGCAAATCAGCTAGTATGGGTAGTCTTATGCCCGCTGCTCCCAACCGGGACGTGGTGGATGAGGATGAATTCCCAAGCTCTTATCCTCTCGCTCTACGTATGCAAGATGCGCAGTTTCGCATACTGTTCCCTACAGTAACACGGCCAGAGAAAGTAGTCCTGGTGTTCCGTGCAGTATGGAACCCAACAGACTTGCAAGAGTTTCCGGGTCGTGTCTACCTCACAACCAAGAACATCTACTTTTACAGCAACCACCTGGGTCTCGTTCTCGTAACTGGTATCAGCATGTCATCAGTTGACGAGGTCACTGCTGCACCCGGCAAAGACTGTGATTTCCTATTCCTCCATTTCAAACCTGGCGCAAGGCAAGACGGCGCTACCAGGCTCACTGTCAAGACCTTCCTCGAACCTTTGAGGTTGCTTCTGCGACGCCTAAATTTCCTCGTCCGCAACGCAGCCTCTGGGGAGTATGACCTCGAGGAAACAGTCAAGAGATTGCTCAAGATGGAAACCGACGATGGCCAGCACTCAGCGGCTGAAGAAGGTTGGGAAGATGTTGCTCCCGACACGCCTGTTGATCCAGGATATGGTGGAAAGAATATGAAAACGAGTCTGCGCATTGACGGCAACTTGTTTGGACCATCTGGTGCAAATATCAACAGAAATGCCACCAAGTTCAAGTTGCCAAGTCAGCCTGTAATATTTTCTCCGGCTGGCATGGCCCAGGTGGCAGTGGAGAAGGAGTACGAAATTAGTGCAAAGGGGTTGTTCCATATCCTTTTTGGTGACAAAAGCGCTGTTTTCCAACTATTGTACCGCGAACGAAGAGCGTCGCGTGTTGTGCAGGGTCCATGGACCGCAAGTGACAAGAGTCTCCAGCGAAGAGACTTTGAGTACGAGATTGCACAACCAGGCAAAAATGGAGCCATTGTCATAAACGACTACCAAATAATCGAAGTGCTCAACGACCACCTCTGTTATGTCGTATCTGACCGGAAAACTCCGTGGTATCTGCCTGGTCACGAGCGCTTTGTATTGGTCAGTAAGATTGTCGTCACGCACGTTTCGAAAGCACGATGTAAGCTCGCTATCCATACCAAAGTGGACTGGAAACGCAACCCACGGTTCGCAAAGAAGCTTATCGAGCGCCAAGCTTTACAGGACCTGGAGCTCGAAGCACAAGATCTTGTGGATGTGGTCAACGACCAGGTTGCAAGGCTTGGTCACAATAGGAATACTAACAAAGTTGTCAATATCTTTGGCCAGATTGGTGCGCAAACGCAAGCTGTACAGCTGGATGCACAAGACATTCCGCCACCTAACCGACCTCGAAAGTTCAAGCTACAGCCACAAACCACAGGGTCGTTTGTTGCGCAGCTCATTGGCAACATTGTCATCAGTGTAATCTCAACCGTTATGAGCTGGATATTGGCGATCGGCGCTGGTCTAGGCAAGGTTATTTCGGCACACACCTTGCTCTTTGGCCTCTTGCTCTTTAGCGGCGGGGTCAACTTATTCTACACTTCACGAGACAGCTGGACATGGTGGCACGAACGAGGCGCCGCAAATTATATGGTGCGATTAGGAGTCGGCCCATCAACAAGCATGACGCGCTCAATCTACATTCGCGACATTGAAGACGCATTCCTCAATCCGAACGCCACCAGCATCAAGTTATCAGCGCCTGTCTCCAATGCTGACAATAAATGGTTCGTTGCCCACATACTTCATATGTATATAAACCAGAGCTAACTTTCGCTACAGCCACCAAACCTTCACTAAACTTCTCCACGACCCCTTTTCCACCAACCCCTCCCATACCTTTTTCAAAACCCCCACACAAAGTACACAGCGCCTACACCGCACACGACAAAATCTCGGATCCCACCGCCACGACCTCCTCGTCGCCCTGCGCGTCGTCAATCGCATTGAAAAGGAAGTCGTAGAAGCGGAGTACGCAAATTGGCTCCTTGATGAAACCCACAAGTGTAGTAAAGTCGGGAAACTGCTCGAGAGCGCGGCGAAGCAGGGGAAGGGAAACCAGGTGGAGGAGTGGGTCAAGGGATATTGTGGGGACTGTGAGAGGAGTTTGAGGGGAGTGGAGGAGGGTAGGGGGTTGTTGTGAGGTAGAGAGGCTGCGGTAGATGTGGGTATGGGTATGGGTATTATTTGCATAGCGTAGGGGATATAGAAATAGAAAACATATAGTAATGGAAGTCTTCACTCGAAGGGTTTTCTCGCTGTGCTAGCGTGTGGATGAAGAAAGAAGTAGAAGGAGCGATGAGTGATGCGGTATCATGTGACTATGAACATTTCTAGTTGCCTTCCACTTTTGTTTGGTTGGGATTATCTTGGTCCATGTCTCTATGGCTGTGTGCATCCAGCTACTTTTCTCTTATCTGCTCGCCATATTCCCTTCGGTTATCAATTTACCTTACAGTACTTCGTGTTTAGACCCCTTATTCCTAACATTACCTCCAGATCTCCCAAAAATGGCAACCGGTCCTTTGAAGTGCGAACTAAAAGGCAACGAGATAGTCGTAGACAACAACTTTCGCATCTCATTTCGACGCACCATCCGAGTGCCAGATAATGAACAACATTCGAAACTCCCGTCAGATCTGGGCGCGTATCCATTCAAAGCGGTAGCCGACTACAGCAAAAACGTGAAGCCCGTCTTGACTGCCAAAGGCGGCGCATTCTTTTCCATGTATCGTAAGTTTATATTAATCAGGAAAATACAGTACATGCACTGACTTATCTTAAAGAATCGGAAGCAATGTGAATTAAGTTTGAGTGCAAAACACCTTCAAAATACATGATCAAAATCTACGTAGGCGGCATCAATGCTATCTCAGGTGAGCCTGCAGTGGAGTACTTTAGCACCAGGCTGTACCGCCAGGCTCATATTGCAAATCTCAGTGGTAAAGGTTCCAACTCAAGTTCGCGTCAAGACTACGTTGTCGTGCCGGGCCAGAAGTGGCTAGATGGCATTGCCAAGTCCGACGGCACCACCTGACAATTTGTGGCCATGCCCTTTGGAAGTGGCTACTCGGCTGAGTCGCAGATTACCGGCAAAGATGCCGTAGGTAGTATTCAGTTTGAGATTACCCCGTACAACATTGGAAGAGGAATCGTACCACCGTATTCAACATGCAAATCCTCAACAAGGCAGTGTACAAGGCAGTCACTGGCCAAGCACCTCCAACGAAGGCAGTAGATGCCCAGACCTACGAAATGTATGGATTGCCTTTCTACAAACTGTACGAGGAGCCTAGCGGAATCTTTGGAGACTTCAATTTGGTCAAGTCTATTGCGCAGATCAATGGTAAGATGGAAGAACTGTCCGCGACCTCGTGGAAGATTTCAAGGGATTACATAATTCCAATGTTCAACCTCGCTATACGTCGCTCTTCGAGACTTCGTCTAGACCACAGTTCCCATATGACGAAAAAGGAAAGCGTCCAGCGAAGGAGGATGTATATGTGGTATATGCACTAAGGGATACATAAATATGCATAGTCTCTCTGGATAAACTCCAAGCACACAGATAGTACACTTTTTTTTTTTTTCCAACGAAACCATGAATCCCCTTCATCCATCGTGGCCACCCGGTATCCATACGATCCTAGCTCATCGATACTACAAACCATCAGCTTTTCCCTCTTCCTCTCCTTCAACCCCCTTCTCCCTTATCATCCCACGAACAAGAACATACCTTGACAAACCCAATATCCTGCGCCTTCTCCCGAAAAGCCTGGCGACTCATGTTGAGCCCGTATTTGCGGATGATGCCGGATTTCTTCCTCGAGCCCGTAACAACACTGCACGCATCATCCTTCATTAGCATTTCTCGTCGTCCAAACCAGAGTGAGTGAGTTGAGGAAGTGCAGTGTGATTGGGAGGATGAGGGAGATAAGTACCAGCCGATTGATCCTTTACCGTAGGTGCGGGGGCGCGAGTACCAGACGGATTCGTGGGACATGTTTGCTGTATTGCGTTTACTTTCACGTTTTTTTGTGGTGTTGGCAAGACAAAAGGATATTGTGTTTTCACAGTTTGGATATGGGAATTTTAGATTCTATTGTGCGTGTGGCGGTTGCAGTGACATGTGGTTGGTGCATGGTGGTGGTGAGGACCTTGTTGGTCGACGGTTGATATCAAGGTACTCTCGAGGTGAGGGGGAGGGGAGGCATGTTTGGTTTGGTGGGATGAAAAAATTTGGATGGGAATATGGGGATTTGGGCTTGGAGGGAATGATGATACTGGTTTACGAAAGGGAGGTGTGGAAAGTAGGTTGGGTGTTGGGCTTGGACTTCATGGGAACACAAAGCTGATTTGTTAGTTTCTCAGGTCAACAATGAAGTCTCGGATACTTTGGACTTTAACAGTGCGACTGATGAGACAGCATCGCTACACTCGACCCTATTTTATCTGAATTCTGTTTCTTCAACGTTCGGGGATTTCTAGTAGGTTTCTGCTTGGTGTTGTGTATTAGTGTAGTACCTAGGCGTGCCAGGCAGCCAACCAACCAGCTCGCCCTACTATCCACCCTGTTTCAACTAATCGCATAAGCCAAAGTCAATTTTCACACCATATGCAGTTCATCACACCAACCTGAGAATACATTGGTCCACGAATTCCAAGTCTGTGAACACTTCTACATCTTCTCGAGGCGAGAGAATCCGCATACCGGCGCTTGTACCTGCATCGTTGGTAACCAATACTAATTTACAGCCTCTTCAGCTGAAACTCAAAACAGCCACATTGCAGACGACCAAGATGCAAACGGAAAGACATAAGGCATCTCGTGCATCCACTGCACACCGCTCGACCATGTCTTCTCAGCCCAGCGACACGCCTCGCACACCGACTTCAGTGGGGACAGTACTTACGTCGACGGCGAAGTGGTTGTCGAGCAACTTGTAACACACCGACTATGATCAGGGATCATCGTATCATACATGCTATCTACCTGAATGCAACTGCCTAAAGAGGAAATCTTCATTACAAACTGTTAATCTTGACGTTCCGCGTCTTGCAGTTCCCCGGACACACCAACCTAGTATTTTGACGGCCGATCACGAACATTCCATGATCCGGAGAATTATTCCATCAGCTATATGTAGGGTTTTAGCGAGTCAAGAATATCGATGGTGACGTCCTCGGTACAGCCCCGGTGTATCATCGTATGAATGAAAATGACATGAACTGCGCGCACCTCAACAATGTCTTTGCCAAAGTTGGTGAAGCGCCAGGCCACGCAATGATGGTTGTGCATAGGTAGGGAAGGCCATGGCAGCAAAAGAGTTCACGGAGCAAGCCAGCAAGCTAGTCGACGATTGTGCTTCTTTAGCGTCGGTAAGCTGCGGTAGGTGTTGGAAGCGCACCGGCTATATGCTTACTTGTTTCATTATAGCAAAGTACGTCAGCACCGGTACGAAGGAGAGAAAGACAACAACGGGCAAAACGTTGCGCTATGATACCGCCGGTACATGAGCGCTGTGGCTTGGAGACGTCCGTCCGGCGCCCGTCCAGTTATTCTCGGATACGGGAGCCGGTGCCTGCAAAAGTCGGGACCACGGAAGAGAGCATGCGTGCTGCATGTGCGTGCTGTGTGTTTGGACCAACAACCGAACGTCTTCCAGACCCGGAGAGCACAGTGCGCCAGGGCTTATCTGCCATTACTACTAACCATGAATCGCCAATCTTCACGTGCGGGCGGGTTCTGTTACATTTGCCTGCGATTCGCGATCGATCGTTGGACGGAAGTCTCTTTCAGGCACCACCATGCTTGTGTTGGCGGTGGAGACCTCTTCTGGGCTCTCTTACTAACTCTTAGCAACTCTCTTGCGTACGTACGTCCGCACTTGCAAGCGCGCGCCGCCCAACTGCCCAGCCCGCTACAAGCAGTGCCAACACAGAGCGATGGAGATTCCCTCTCGGAGGCAACACCTCAACTAAGCAGTACCTAAAAAAATTGTCCGCACCAGGCCGCCCATGTGGCATACGTACATGGCCCCAAAAAAAGACTGCAAGCCCAAAGCAATCAAAGCAATAGGAAGCCTAACTGTCGCCCCCCTCTCCATTTTCTTTCGCGGCTGAATTCGCATACACTGACCCACAATAACCAACAACTTCTTCAAATAAAAAAAACCCTCTAGAAAAAAAAAGCGACTCAGAAAAGGAAGACTCGTAGAAAGTCCAGAACACGCGAACCTGGCTCTTGATAACAACAAAACAGACCCACCCCGCCGCGAAAACACCGAACCCGATAATAACACAAACCCACTTCCCACCCATGAGCATGAGAAAAAAATCTTGTTGATAACCAGCAGCCGGCAGCGGGCGGCCCTAACCGGGCGGCGCATCCATACAGAACAACACACGCAGAGGACAACCCCGGGCGGGAAATTACGATGTGCGCCTCGCACCTCCGAATACGTCTTTGTTGTGAATACCATATAATATTCCAATATTTTCGAGGTCATCTCTCATCTTGCGAGTCCTATAATAGAGCAGCTGATAAGGTATCACCATGTGTTAAACGAGATTTCAACAAAAAACTGCGGTAATGTCGGGGAAGCGACCAAAAAAGGCGGGATAATTGATCATGGATGAGGATGGGGGGCGTGTGGAAGCGAGACGAGGCAATGCCGTTGCGGAATTCTTTTTTCGCGCTTCCCCGGTTGGAATCGTTGGAACCAACCCCATTCTTTTCTTTTTCTTTTCTTTCTTGATGCGGAACTCCACATTGCCCACACATACACGTGTCGCCGATTGCCCACTTCTTCGCAGCCCCCAGGTGGGGAGGAAAAAGAGAAGGAATCACGCACCAAACTTGCCTCTTTGTCTGGTCCCCGTAAAAAAAACCCCTCGGCTTGTCCGGCAAAGAGCCCATAGATACCGTGACGACACGATAACGATTGTAGTTAGCTAGTTGGTAAAGCGATGTTTGGGATTTTGTCTAGTGAGCAGCAAAAGGGAAGGTTGCGCATTGCTGCGATGCAGAATGCCGAGAGAGTCCCTTCTCTTTGGTATCGCCACAGTTAGCATCGGTGTATCGTACAGAACACAGAGCGCAAAGAAAGAAACAGATACGAGCGATGGCTGTCGCCGCCGCCATGCCAACTCGCCCACATGTCAACTGAAGCGGTGCGCAACATCCAAAGTTTAATTCTCTCTCTCTCACACACACTCTCTCAACCCGCCGCGTCCCTTTTCGTCCATCAGCTACCTACCCTACTATCAAAGCGTGCGTACTACTAAGCACGCACGTCAATGACAATCCTGTTCCTGGATAAGTAAGTAACCAAAAAAAAACCCCCCCCTCCCTCGCCGACAACCTCAACATGGCGTTAAATCAACAAAATAGAGCGTGAGCGAGCGCCCCAGCCCAGCCCAGCGCCAGCGATGTGCGCAATCTAGAATTTCCTTGAATCGAAGGCAGAGGCGAAGGCGAATGGCGAAGGGGAAGGGGGGGGAGGGGGCCGGCCCTAAGCTTTGACCGTGTGGAAAACGGGAAAAGCCCAAAAGTCCGCACTAGAGAAGCCAGGAACGCGTACTTGGCAGGCACACACACACACCATGGGCGCAGGTACCAGGGGGGTTGCTGCACGCAGCCCGAATACGAGGGGGGAGGGGGGGAGTCTTGCAGATTTGCCGGGGGAAGGGGAAAGTGTCATCTCCGTTGAGTGCGCTGACTGGAGACGAGTGTGGCCCCCCCTCCCCTCCCTTCACTCTTCGTGTCTGTCAGCTGCGACATTTTTTTTGTGGTTCGTTGGTGCTGCTTTGTCCGATGGTCTTTTTTGTTGTCTTGCCTGTGTCATTGTTTTGGGGGACCTCTTTGTTGGGTCCAGGAACAAGGGAAAAGGAGATCGGCGGCGTGGCGCACAGCCGCAGGGGAGTAAAGTTTGGTCCTAACTGCATGTAAACGTTAGAGCCGCTGAAGTCGTGTGCGCTGGTTGGTTAGTAGTCGGCTAGAAAGCTGGGCACGAAAAGGGTCCATAGCTTGTCTGTTGTTAATATCACCTTGTACACGAATAGGGCCAAGCAACACGCGCGAGAAGAAAAAAAAGGCAAAAGCAAAGGGTTGGCTCGTGAATTCGTAAATCTGTAATTCGCAGTAGATACTAAGAGAGAGTTAAAAACGCTTGCAAGTACTGCGCCCCTAGTGTGAAGCAGGGAATGATAAACCAGACGAAGTACCATACAGATACAAAGGAGAAGAGAAAATATTGTTCCGAACCAGCGCGATTGATATAAAGCTACGCGTTGCGTGTTGTTTGGGTCTCCAAGCCGCCCTGTCACCTAAAGTAGAATAGAATCGAAGAACCACCCAAGAAGAGGCATTAAAATCCCCTTCTCTTTTGTCTCATGAAAGGCATCATGCTGCTTAAGCGAGATCGCAGCACCAGATACCCTCCCTGTTGCTGCAACCAATCTTGGAGTAGTTGGGCGAGGTGAGGATCTCGGCGTGGCCAGTCTGGCCCTGGTAGTCCCAGCCCTTGGAGAACTGCGCGCAGGCATCGCCGAGGCCGGGGAGGTTGGCCATCTCGCAGAGCCATCCACCGACGAAGACGTACTCGAACTTGTCGGCGTCGCCGGGGGCGAGGACCTGGCCAAAGGTGCCCTTGTTGAGCTTGTGCACCATTTTACCGTTACCCTCAATGACGACATTGAGAGCGTTGGACTCGAGCTCAGCGGAGAACTCGAGCGCGCTGAGGCCGAGCTTGGCGCGCCACTCAGCGACTACATCCATGTAGCCTCCAGTGGAAGGAGCTGGGGAGGGAGAAGGCGAGGGGGTAGGGGTAGGGGTAGGAGTTGGCTCTGGAGCAGGAGCAGGAGTGGGGGTGGGAGTAGGGGTGGGCTCGGACTCAACTGGTGCCTCGGGGTAGGGGCTGGGAGTAGCCTCGACGTAGACAACAGATGAGAGGGTGGAGGGAGCGGGAGCGGGCTGCTCAGCTGGGTAGGCCTCAGGAGAGGGAGTAGCAGCTGGGGCGGGAGTAGCAGCAGGAGTGGATGAGGGGCATGGGGTGGCCTCGGGGGAGCCCTCGGTGACGTAGACGGTGTGGACTACGTGCTCGACGACAACCTCAACGTTGGGGTTGGCAGCGGGAGCAGGCTGGTCGGCCGGGTAAGCAGCTGGGTAAGCGGCCGGGTACGAGGGAGCGGCGAGCGCAGAGCCAGCGAGGGCGGCGATGGAGATGGCGATGGAGGAGCGCATGTTTGTAGATTTGTGTGATTTGGATTTGACTGAATAGGTCTGAACTTGGGGGGAATTGACAAAAAGGGTTCGACGGTCGACGGGTTTTTGGTTATATGTTTGCGAAGAGAGCGTGGTTATGCCGTAGGGCGGTAGAGAACGTGGTGTCAAAGACTGACAATGTATGTAGACTGAAAGACTGGCGTCGAACCTGGAAGTCGCAGACCTGGGGTATCAAAGGAAGGGCTGTTATAGTGAGGGGATAGACTACATTTATACAACATGGCGCTAAGGAAGCGAACGGGCGCTGTGCAGCGGGTATGGGCCTGGAAATGAGAACGAGCGCCATCGCAGGTCCGCCCATGGCCCCGTCCCCTCCGCAGATTTGCCAATGCCTGGAGCTAGAGCGTCTTAGGCGGGTCTTTGCTGCCAACCTCGCCGCTCGGATCCTTTCATTTCATCATCCCCTAGAGCGACCTAAGACCACGCGGGTGACCAGGGGGGTTTTGGAGTCCGATGCACCGCGCACCAGTATTGGCTGACAGGGCTAAACCTCGTGTCTCCGTCAAGCGCTTTTCTTACAGCAGCTGCAGGTCATCCGCGTCACACGGCAGACAAGAGTGGTTTTGTCTTGTATTCGCTTTGCTTGCCTGGCGCTTCGAGAGTGATTGTCGACGTCGCGGCTGGACATGGCCAAGGTCAGGGGTAGCACGTCCAATGATTGGGCTGGGCGCACTGGGCTCTCATAAAACCACCCGCCATGGCATTCCAGGCTGAAGACTAGCCCAGGAGCGGCAAGACGTAGACACGGTTGCCAGTGCGCACGTGTCCCCTGGCGGGTAGGGGTGTTCTCACCGGGCTACGTTTCAGATATTTCCTTAGTCTCCTCACACAGCTGTGGCTTGCTCGCCTGGCCTTCGTACAGAAACTTTGTGCACCGGGGCGCAGAAACAGACAGCTCGGCCGCCGGCGGTGCACAGTTGCTCCGTTCCTTTGACCGAAAACAGTCGACAATGAGGCTTTTGTTCTGGCAGTTTGAAGATTCGAGACTGGCGAAGCAAGTGTTGTCCAAGGGAGGGGTTATGGCGACTAATCGCAGACGGGAGGGTCTAGTTACGAAACAACGGATAGAAGAAAAAACTAACGTAGATCCCGTTTGTAACGCTCAACCATGAAGGAGGGGAAACATGCAGGCTTCCCGCCACAGCAGCATCCTCCCGCCACGGCAGTGGATCGTGTGGTCGTGGGCGACACCCGCCATCGTCAGCGTCTCATGGTACTCGTGTTCCGAGGCGTCCCCCTGTATCACCAACCGTTTTCTTATGCCTAGACACCTGCCTCATCCGAGTGCACTTGGGCATCTGAGCCGGCCTATCGAGGTTTTTCTGTTTGGCATTGGCCACCGAGCATGAGTACTCGTATGTGCAATGAGTATGCACGGGCTGAGCTTGACGAGCGGCATTGTAAGCAATCATCCGGCGGCCGGGGTTTAAATTTCTCGTTATTTCTCTACTGCCAGTTTTGCCCTAACGCGATATGTTACAAAATTACCGCTGCAAGTAATGAGGGTATAGCGGAGAGGCGCCTTAATCCTGTCCAATTTCTCGCCCGCTCTGTTGCGTCACCAGTCTGTTTGTTTGTACTCGGACTAGCATCAGATGAAGCGCCAACTGCGTCCCGATCCTCAGGCCACAAGCTGGAGTGAAACGTAACGTTGTGGTCTGGATGCATTCGAGGCCGCATGTCTTGCGCGTCCATTCCACAATATTGCGAAGTCGGAGAAGAGCCTGACTGCAATACTACCTCACCTGGCCCACCGCATCTGCAGTCAAAGGCCTTGTTGATTAGACTTGGGATAGATACTTAAGGACCTGTCACATTTGTATAGCGTCGCCATTGGGATGCGCCGCTCTTTTGTTGGTCTCGAGCTATATGTCCCTTTGTCAAAATGTTGCTTTGTCAAGTCCCATTGTCCGCCACGAACACTCCGAACATGTCCACGCATACATGCCGCATCCGTTGCCGCCGCGTATGTGAACATGTTTCCCCGCTTCCGCGGCAAACGGGAGGATTGTAGCAGATTCTTTGCGCGGATGCAAGATGCTTACGCAGCAGATGGCGCTGATCGCCGAACGCCATGGATGTCAGACAAACGTGGAGAAGAAAAACTCCTATCGATTAGATAGCTGGCTGGCGTGGCGCATCCTCACTGACCGGCGCCATGGTGCAGCGCGTAAATACGGCTCTGGCTCGGTATGCGTGCCGGCGTGGTTGACAGGTTCTCCGTGTCTTGTCTTGTTTCACATGCATTCGGTCCTTGGGGAAGCGGTCCTAGGCTCGACTGGCTGCGTAAGTAAGTAGGCCGCATGCGGTGACATCAGGTCTTGCTCAAAAGGCCAAGAGGTGGTGCATTCAGCCCGTCGCGGAACTCGCACTATGACGCGTGCAGCCCGGCCCAGACTGGGGACGTGGACCACGAAAATTCTCTGCTCTCCATCCGGCTCCGCAGTCGAGTGTTGATTCATCTGCCGCCCAATGGGCTTGCTCGTGGGGTTGCAAGGGCGTCTAGCATCCGCCGACAGGTAGGTAGTAGTTGGGTAGGTATGCCGCTGATGACACCTCAGACGCCGCCGACGCAGTGGGCTTCGACTTGGAGCCTCATTTAAATATGTAGCTGCAGAACAGCAAGTACGTGGCGTGGGACAGCGAGGAAACAAAAGCGATAAGAAACCGGATGGGGGAAAAATGCAAAAGATGTTGACCTCTGCAGGCGAATGGCGAATGGCGAATGGCGACGACGGCTGGTTGCAGCTGGATGGTGGCTTGGCATGTCCAGGCCAGGTACCGTGTGCCTGCCGCGCCAGGTACCCGGACACCCGTTCACGCATCCTGCGCCCCCAACGGCTGCAACAAGGCCATCATTCAGGTACGTGGCAAATCCACGCCCGAGTCCAGTCACCGCTCCCCCGAACTGCCCCGCTCTACAATATTGATAATATCGATAATATTCCCGCATACATGCTGCCTACCATGGCTTTTTTCCTTCGCTAGCAACGTGGACAGGTCTGCGTGGCTCTTCACCCAGACCCTCTCGACCACCAAGCCAGAATTCCAATTTGCCTTGCATACTCCAAGTCCGGCTCACGACGCTACACCACCGGACGCTGTAATCCCTACATCATCACCTGGGCACCTCTAGTCCTGCTGCTAGTACCGTGTAGCTCCAGGGCATACACAGGGCATGCAGCTAGGCTAGCACAAATCGGGCGATATAAACCCTCGCCCGTAAACTGCCCGACATTTCCACTCATTGAGTTTGCCGGGAAGAAGGGATCCGTTTTCCCAAGAGAAGAGACCCTGAATGCCATCAAGAAGAAAAATATTTCGGTAGGCCAGGCCCAGCTGAGCATAGCCACGACACATTCCACTTGTTCCTTGCTTTAGTTCGCGCCACCAGTACAAAGGTACCATCAGATGAAAAAGAAACATGCGAAAAACCGGAACCCAAGATTCTAGGCCCACGCATCTCCTTACATCATACGTCTAGGCTAAGTGCCACCACCCTGGTACCTGACCAACCACAGCCCTACAATGCTGTCTCCACTGTCCACGTTGAAGCGCTGAAAGCACTACTGCACCGCGAAAACGCTTCCGCTGCCGCCGTCGCCGGACTTGGACAAAGTTTTTTTTCTGCCCTCAACGTTTCACATAATTCGTGGGTGCTGCCTAAGGTGGAGGGGCTCACTGAGTATTGGGTGGGCTGAAGCTAGTCTTAGTCTAATCCTTCGCCATAGATACTTTCCTTTATAAAAGAGGGATGATTGCCAGAGAATCTTACCCTTTGAAATCACCAACACTGTTCAACATTCTTTTCCCCCGTCGCCTTCGGCAACACATTCCTTGTTCTCCCAAGAGGCTTTGACAGCTTCCCTTACAGTCCCTCCGGCAAACCAGCGAAAAAAAATCCCACACTCTCTTCTTCAACCCGAAGACCCACATATCAGCACTCATTCATCCTCCGCTTCGATCACGAAACAGGATATCCTTTGAGTTGATCTCTCCCTCACTCACACACACACACACACACACACATTCCACGTGACCTCAACCCACCCAAAACCCCTCACCATGTTCTCCAAGACCACCCTCCTCATGGCCCTCAACGCCGGCCTCACCCTCGCCGGCAACGCCATTCTCACCAACCGCTGCTCCTACGACATCTGGGTCTCTTCGGTCGGCGGCTCCCACCAAACCCCCTGCACCCTCGTGCCAGCGCGCACCCAATACACCGAGGTCCTCTACAACACAGGCACCTCTCTCAAGATCTCCTCCAGCGACAGCATCAAGAACGGCGAGCACACCCAATTCGAGTACTCCATCGCCGGCGGAAAGATCTGGTACGACATCTCCTTTGTCAACTGCGCCGAGGGCGAGTCCGCCTCTGCCTGCCCTGGCCACGCTGAGGGTTTGTCGATGCGCGGCTCCGATGATCAGTGCAGCTCTGCGGACTGCGCCGCTGGTGATTACTGCCCTACTCAGGCCTACTATGTTGATACGCCGCTCATTAAGCTGGGGCTCAAGGAGCCCGTGTTCGACTGCCCATCTACCGATGTTGATCTCCACATGACTGTTTGCTCTGGCGAGGACTCGCTCAAGAGGAGTGTGGCTGGCCGTGTCGCTATTGACCTTGAGGGTCAGAACTAGATGGGGCCAGATGATAGAACGCGCATCGGTGATGCTTGCGGCGTTGACGCTTTTGTTTTTTATTCTTCTTCTTCTCGATCGCTTCTTGTTTCTTCGATTCTACCATGATATATATTAGGGCTAGACAGGGTCTGAGCGTGGTTTGATTACCACTCAGCATGCTTTGCGGGATTGTATGATTTTTTTTGAAAGTGGGGGGGAAGGAATTCACGACAGTATACGATTTGATTATGATATGACCTGGAAAAATTCAGAAAATCTTCATCTTTTGCTGGTTTGCAAATGAACTTTCAACTCTTTCTCTCCACATGCTTTGTGACTTCGTATGCTTTGTGTAACCTCGGTGTACGATCTCACCTTCATATTCACCCTGCACATACTTGAACTTATCGCAATTACCACACCACTTCCATCCCTCTCTTCTCTCGATACATAATCACTAGATCCCCTACCACGGTAACCGCGCCCTCGAACCCCCACCCCTTTTTTCCTTTTTTTTCCCCTTACCTGCATAACAGCTGAACCACACACGCTCCCCTCCCAAAAAGCAATCAATACCCACTAACCCGTGTTTTTTTTACTTCTTACACCTGCATTTTTTTTTTGGCAGCGCCACGTAATCTCTCAAGACTAAGTAAGCAACTTTCCCTGCAATCTTATCAAGCGAGACGTTGTACTTGTGGCGGGGAAATGCGTTCTGCGGATTGGTTGGGGGTCCTACGCGCGCAATTTCCCGGGTTATGTCTCGGATAGCGAGGGGGATGTGTTGGCGGGTGGCGCTGAGGTATCGGGAGGAGGGGGTGAGAGGTGCTTGGGGGTGGGGGGTTTTTTTTTGGGAGAGGGGTAGGTGGGATTGTGATGGCAAGTGATGTTGTTGTGATTGAAGGAGGGTGGGAGGGTGTTTGGGAAGTGCCGTTTTCTGTATGAGTACGGACGGCCTAGTAATGATTTCGATGAGTGGAATCGCAATGTGTGTCGGTGGGTTTGCTGCTGAAATTTTTCTTCGAGTGATGGTTGGGCTAGTGTTCATGATCCCGTCGTTGTTTAGAGATGGGTTGGAAGACTCATAGTCGGAGTAACTGGTGGTCGGCCATTCGTAGCTCCTTCTTTTCTCTATTCGACCAGGGTATCGTGTTTACAGAAAACTCTGTTATAGTGACTACATCAAGAAGGAACTCACCGTAAGCGTTAGTGACGAAAACGGGCCACGAGGTGGTACTGCACGCTTGACCACTGCTGGCACCTTTGGGCTAATGCGATAACTTAGATTGAGAACTGAAACATGTATACATGTGTCGAGATGTTTTTGCAAATACTCGTTGTAACACTGAGCAACACGATTATTCTCTTTCTAGAAGAAATCATATACTTGTTCGTTAAGGAGCACTCTTGCTTCATGAGATACTTGTCCTAGAGTACACCTATGGCTTACAGAAATGCCGATCTATGAGGCGTGTAATTTCCTGAATACTTGAAGGAAGGCCTTCGGATTTTGAATTCACGCTTGAAGTCAAGTTAGAGTAGGCGGATACGAGTGCCAAGGGGATGGCTGTCCCATTCAACCTCCCCAAGCAATGTTACATCAGGAGACTATAACTGTAAGAGTAAGGATAGATAAACTACAAAGAGGAAGGCGACTTCTGGAACTAAAGGCCGAGATTCTGCAAGATCATGCACGCTTGGCCGAATAAGGAGGCGTGGAAGTGATAATCATCGAATTTCCAATGCCCAGGACGGAGCAAAGGACTTGATATGGCAACGCAACACGCGACACTACCAGGGTGGTTAGATACCCTAGGGCGGATCATGCGAGCTAACAAGACCTCATATGGAAACCAGCTGGATATGTAACGTATGTACTATCTACAGATTAGAGCGAGCGTGCGCCTCCCATGCACGAACAACAAACTACCGCCTAGTTTTTCGCCAGTAATTATTGCAGGCCCAAACATGCGCTTTGTAAATTCAAAAACGCCATGCCCCTTACGAAAAACAGAGTCGTGAAATCGTAACATCGTCATCGCCAAAACGCCGAAATTCAGGCAACCAAAAACGTATAGCTCAATACCGTCCGACAGAGACTTCACCAACAAAACTGGGATGCAGCTCGATCTCGTCGGGCGGCGTGTCTGGTGCCAGCCCACCTTGTGCGCTCAATCTTCTGCCCGCTAGACTTCCGGCGACACTTGCGCTACCTGATCGGCCACCGTCGAATCTCATTCTTTTGCTGCTGCGGTCCATGACCTCAAGTTCCTCTCTTAGGTTACCGACTTCTTCTTCTTTTTCCTTCCACAATGCAAGCACGGCCTGCCTCTCCTCATGTAATCGTGCCTCTTCGGCTTCCTTCTCTTTCCTGATAAGTTCAAGCACCGCATCTCGCCCCGCCTTCGCCGCAGCCTCATCCTGCATGCTTGTGCCCGTTGAGCAGCCAATCGCGCCAAGTATGTCGCCCTCTACTGACAGAATGGGTACGCCACCACCAAGTGTAGTGAAGCGTCCTGAAATAGCATTGCCAATGCCAGATGTAGCGCTGCCCGGCCATGGTGTTTCTTGGTATGCGGAGGTGGGGATTCGATTTCCGGCGGCGGTAAAAGCCATGTCCATGGCAGTATTTATGGAGGTAATTTTGGCGCCATCCATGCGTGTGAACGACAGGAGATGAGTGTGCGCGTCAACCACGGCGATGCTCCTGATCGGTGGTCAGCTCTACTCCGCACAAGTCATGTGTTTAGTGAAAAAGAGGGGTCATACATTGGCACACCAACTTCAATGGCATGTTGCTCTGCTGCTTGCAGGGCGACTCGCGCACCGCTTTGGGTCAGTGTAGGTAACGCTGCTGTCGCTGAAGCCGTTGGTGCCATGTTGAAGTATGAATTGCGCATTAAACCGGAAGGCGGAGGAAACAAGTCTGAGGAACCACAAGTAGTAAGAGAAATCAAGGCCGTCCGAAAAACAGCCGCGGTCTCGTGTCCCCCAGCTCTTTAGTACATCCCAGAGAGCGGGTATGCGGCTAGACTATTGCAGATTGGTATGTCTTTTCAGGCAGGCCAATCTCCTGAAGGATCAAGAAAGAGTTATTTAACGATAAGCAGCCCGTGGCGACTGTAACTAACGAAATCCTGACTAGAAGGGCCGCGGATTCACCAGACAGAAGTGGAGTAAACGGGCGATAGGCACCAAGCTCGCCTTACCCCAGGTTAAGGGTCTCAAGACCGGGACTGCTGGTGCCATGTTCTGGTACTTTGTCAATGTTTATTCGACACGGATGCACAGTGCCGTGTGGAGAGATTTTTTGTGGGCGGGTTAACATACCCCAATTAGGCAAGCAATATGCGATGTGGACTGATGCACTGGGGTCTCCGATCTCTAGGGCTGGGCAAGACCACGTTAACAATGCTAATAGAAATACCTCATGGCAAAACAGGTATCGCTGTTATTCTCTGGTATACGCGAAAAGGATGCTGAGCCCTGGGGGCGTCAATCACCCTCGCTAGGGGTGCTTGTGTCCATGGGCGGGGGGCATGATGTGACTGGATGTTGTGACAAAGTTGAGAGCCTCATGTCTACGAGATCGACAAGGCTGCGCAAGGTGAAGCCGATCATGAGTCTGCCGTCATCGTGCAGCTTGATGTGTGGTGTTGTGGTGTCGTGTGATGGTTCCAACGCGAATCGCGCTGGGGTGCACGATTCAACGCTAGTCCAGAATGGGGCTTAGCACCATGTGGAGAAATCCTTCGCTCCTTCGTCGACTTATGCCGCCTTCACTTTCGCATGCAGCTTAACTTCTGAATGCTGAATCACATTCGAATGGGTATCTGGTCCTACACCGCTCAGGTTCGGAGGTGCCAGAATACGTTGGTTCGTGCGAGAAACCCCAGGTTCACTCTTGATATCTCCATCTGCCTTACACTCCACATATCGCGTCTACTGCAAACTAGCTAGCAGTGAAATTAACAAGACTGTTTACTGAAACATCTTTGTTATGTTGGTTTGAGTCGCAAACGACCGGCTGCACCCATCATCCCCGGCCAAACCCCGTATCGCTAGTAAACTATGGCTTGTCAAAGACTTCAAGATACGATGTACAAACAACTGGTGAAAAAGGAAGATCATCGACCCAAACAGGTCACCATGGGTGATTGTGCGAGCTTCCCGTCACCTAACATTCACTTTGTTATTGTTCAACATGGGGTCTATTCACCGTCACTTTGTTTCTCATTCTGTTGTTTTCCCTATTGTTCGTGAGACATTGTGCTCCGCGCTCTCTTTGTCAAATACCAGACAACAAGTCTCAGACACTTACATGCCTTTTACAAACTCATCACATCTGCACCATCATACACAAATCGACGTAGCTTCTTTTGAACGTACAACCCTATTTGAGCAAGACCACGTGTCACCACATACATTTCCCTGCCGAAATCACGACATAGGAAGAGCGAAAAATGCTGGGATTCATTCTCCAGAACGATGTATTTTTCGCAACCATCCTTAACATGGTCCTCACCTTCCCAAGCCTCCGATACTTCTGGGATCCAGCCATAGGTTTGACATTATCTAAGCAACGCGCTTCTATCCCAAGGATAGGGGCAACCCAGACAGCGACCTTGCGCCAGGAACCGACTATGTTGAAGCCTATATCGACCTTGCCCCCGAAGCTGGTTACGTTGGAGCCTTGCTCGACTTTGCGCCCAGAACCGGTTACATTGATGGAAACTGTCACTCTCAAAGTATGTGATACTGTTCAAGATGAACAAGGTACAATATGGACGCACTATCCAGCTGACTCCGCGGCGCCACTCATAAATCAAGAATACTTTTCTGGTGAGGTAGTGCTGCATGAGACGAAAAGCAAATTTCAAACATGGACCTGCTGGGCGATGTTGTTCCTAACAATTACCATCTTGTGTATGCTATATCTGGTGTTCAGGTCAGGCTTTATAAGCACTGGAGTACCTATAGCTGAACATCAAACTGAGGAAACGGAGATTGGTCCAGGAGAAGACGAAAAGTCCGAACAGGAGTGGGAAACTGAAGCTCGTGATATGATCAACGACCTGAGGAAAAATAGACAAGGAATGCAGCATTTGATGGAAAGCGTTGAGAAGAGGGATGCCATGCTCAAGTGCCTTGGAGTTTTCGATGACAACGATACGACACCAGATGAAGAGAGCCTCGAGAAATCAGTGAAGAACAGGAAGGAGTCACTCGAAGCTAATGAGAACAGCTTGCGAACGATGCAAGCGGAGATCACAGCTTATTCGGAGAAGATCAAGGAATTGGAGGCCGAGAAACCAAAAATAGCAGAGGATACCAAGAACCAATGCGATCAGCACTATGCACAAAACGTTATTCCCAAATACCAACGGTCACTCGACGACAAGCAGAATGAGATCAAATACTGGCGCGCCGCGTTCTTCAATAACGAAAAAGACGAGAATATGACGAAGAACTACCGGCTCTGTGAAGAAAAAGAAGCAGAACTGGTGCAGCTCCGTATCTTACCTGCAAAAACCAGCGACTTGGAACAAGCCCTCCGCGATGCTACGAAGCAAATCGAGACTCTCCAGCAGGAAAAGAAAGACCAGGGTATTGCGGATAGAAGGCGGTGGATGCTGGAAAAGGACGACTTGTGCAAGAAACACAACGATGTCACCAAAGCGCTGAGGGTCGAACTCAAGGAAGCTAAGCAGCTGTCAAAACTGGCGAAGGAGACTACGAAACCACAACAAGACAGCAGCGCAGGCAGTACCGCCGGCAAGAAACAGGTCGAGAGCTTGAAGAAAGAGCATGAGGCCATGATGACTGAGGCTTCTGAGCTTCAAAAGCAGATTGACAATATGAACAGCATCGTCGCTGAGGTTGTTCAGGGTTCTGAGAAGCTTAGGGGCGAGCGTGATAGTTTCAGAGAAGCTTTGAAAAAGTTGCATAGGGAGAAGGCGTTTGAAGAGAAGGCGCTTGAAGAGAAGGCGTTTGAAGAGAAGGCAACCGAGAAGAAGGAGTGATATGGGAGTGGAGACTTGCGTCAAATGGTGACTAGTTTCGAAGGGGGTTAGGTTGTATATTGTTATTCTTCCATGGTTTGGGGAGTTTTCGGCGGCACTAAAAATAAGGAATGGCATAGAACCGGCGTTATTGAATGAAGTTACATCATACAACTAGAGTCACCAAGTAAAACAAAGTAAAATATCTTAACTCGTAACAAAAATGATGTCCTCTCAGTACAAGGACACACAACTTTCCCACTCAACAAGTTGTCTTCCCAAAATCATGAAACCTCAGATCGGTGCCACGGAAATGCCCATTGGTATGAAAACCAACAGGTATAATGTCCATCCACTCGTAACGGAACAACCGCCGTAACAGAACGAACTACAGGTACTTTGATTTTGATGCAATAGAAAGCTTGTGTATGTCTTTTTTTTCTAGGGATATTTCTCTCTAGTAGTACCCTAAAGCTACTTCTGAACTTCTTCAATTCTAGCGATACATAAATTAAGCTCGCATAGATGCTCAGAGATTGTTTTTATGACCAAAATGAGCCTTGCCCGATATAGGGCCACCACATAGCATTTGTTGTCATCGCAACTTATACAGCACCCTCATATAAGTCTAGGAATCTAATAGCACTGCTAAGGATGTATGTTTTACTGCAGGGTTACAAGTAGTGCTCTGTTTATGCAGAGTTTAACACCCTGTCGGTACTTCCACGCTCGGTTGCTAACTTATCAAAGCTATCGCTGACTCTCGCTTAGGCTACTATGCACGTCCATCACTTACCCTGTAACTTACTTAGTCAATAGATAGCTTACTGCATCTCCAAGTATGATTCTTATTTTAAAGTTTAGAATACGTTTTACATACAATAAAATAACCATCGCCTGCATTTCGAAATTTTTGACAGCGATAGGAACCAGCTAAATGGAGTTGAAGTTGGCGATTTATTCGAAATTGTCACCAACTTGAAAATGCAATTAAGGCATGACTTGGGCTGATATTTAGCTTGAAACTCTGAGAGAAGCTTTGCGAGGCTCTAGGATAATTTATGACGCTTAAAAACCTACTTGCAATTTTGCTTGTGTTAGGTTGTGTGGATGCAAAGCAATTCGGTACTTGGGCGGCAGACAAATCTCAAAAACGGTGGGACGATATCACGCCAGCCTTTACGAGGTACTACTTTACTCGAACCTTACTTACCCCAGGCTGCGCGCACGGATATGGTGACAGATCCTCGGCACCTCGCGTGTCTACTAATGCCGACCTCCGTATCCCGAACTACTCAGTCTTCGGGTATAGCTAACGCGAGAGTGATGGCGCCTACCAGAAGCAAGCGCCTATGAGTAGACTGTGAGAACGAGGCCAGCGCTTTGCAATGCCCTAACTGCCTCAAGTCGGGTGTGCACGACAGTTTCTTCTGCTCGCAAGACTGTTTCAAGAAGAACTGGGTTGGCTATTCCTCACTTGTACCATGTACAATATGCTACCGCGTAACAAGCTAGACTCATCCTATAAGCGTCCATAAAAAAGGCGCATACGGCAACATGCAGCCTTTCCATTTACGGGGCTTGTTCGGCCGTCGATTCACTTTCCCCAAGAGGAGCCGCCCCCAGGTCCATCAAGGGCCCAGAATGATGTGAGGCAGGCATTCCAGGGGTCGAATAGTGCTTGGATCGCTCCAAGATCAGCCTTTTCGGCTCCGAAAGCCGAGAGGCAATAGGCAGGGTAGAGAAGCGGACGACGTTTCAAGCGTTACGCTTTTTTTGAGACGAGCATGTACACCGATGGAGAAACTATATGCACCATTCGTTTGTCGCTTGGGAGATGAAGGCCTGATGATCTGATATAAACGGCTACTGTGTAGCTGCTGTACTAGATACCGCGAATCATTGATAGTATTGAACGTCACAGAGCATAATGTGAACTACGTGAAGAAGGTAGTAGCAATTGTGATAGTACATTTCAATCTACATAATCCATGTGCCATGAATTCCTTTGCATGATTTCTGTAGCCTTCTAGCCACCGGATTCAGTAGTGCGGCTACTATATTTGCGGCCACACCGTTCTTTCTCGAGTAAGCGTAGAACTTAGGGCAGTGTTTTCGATTGTCAACTCACGGACTAGTAGTTGCAGCAATGCCAGCCATCACTCAGCTGATGACAGTCCACAGAGAAGCAAAGACCCTTGCAGTTACTATACGTAGAGACCGCCCCAGGCTCGCAAGCGTTTGCTCTCTTGTCTTGCGGCATTCCAGCGACGAAGACTGTCGCGTAAGCGGCTAGGAAGATAATCGATGCTGAAAAGGTCTTCATGCTGCAATCTACTTAGTGTGCGGCTGATGTGTAAGCTCTATGTACTTACGCTGTTGATTGCTCTTTCTTATCAAGCTTGGAGTAGTAAGAGATATGTCTTGTTGGATATCCGTGTATTGTCTGGAATATTTTGGGGTTTATATATCTTCCATTGCATCAGCTATTCTGATAGATAAACCTCATGAAAAACATCACACGAACATCGCTTAGATCAGCGCTAGTCTGGGTTCAGTAATGAGTCTATTTGCTGACAGCAAAGGTTATTGAACACCCCCATATCAGTTATTCATCACCCCACAAAACAGGGGTCTGCATAAGTGCGACGCTATCTGTAATTTTGTATCTTATACCATAAGGCTCTCTTCTCCCTCCTCTCTCTCATGTGTCTTCCTCTGTTGCCTCTTCTCTTTCTTCTATCTCAAGAGATAATAATTGATTAATAAAAGGAAAAAGAAGAAAAGAGAGCGAGAAGAGAGAGAGAGGAAGAAGAAGAGAGGGAGGAAGAGGAAAAGGAAGAAGAAGAGAAAGAGTAAGCAATATAGGCTTTCTCTACTTGTGAGTAGACCCTTTTCCCTAGCTCAGTGAGACAACGTTACGAGTTTCACGTATAAAGCACCGCCCAAACGCCGAACTGGCGGACGGATTAACGCATGAAATTTAGACATGTAAATATTGATTATGAAAACAGCCCGCTATCCTGCTACCTTTATGGGTGTTGTGAAGCTAAATTCGGTGGACAAGTAAATTTTAGAGACTAACGGAGATGTTGTGCACAAAGGGTGCGATGACGAGACTGAGCTCAATTTGATGACGCCCGCGGAGGTTATGCCCGCTCTGTAGAAAAGTATAAGGATAGTGCTGACCGGAATTGGTTTCCGGCTCTGACCTATTGTTTGTTCTCAGTGCACAGTACACCTCTCCCCGCATCACTTAATATAACCGTGCGGTCCCTGCACGGTGCTAGCGTCTATGTGGTAAGTAACTTACAAAGCGGTCGTACCCTGTGAACAAACGATGTACGCGGACCGGAAACCGATTTCCGACCACTGTAATACGAACTCGGCGCTAGTTTTCATCATCTGTCTACGACATTGGAGTAAGGCGAAGCAAGGCGAGACCGCAACGGTGAAGGCAGCTTGTGTTCATCGTAAAAGTCCAGCACTAGTATTCTTTCCAAGATTCAGGTTAGCCAATTTTTTGTCTGGTTTCGTTCTTTGTTTGCGGTAATATTTTTTGGTGCAGCGCGCGTCTTTATGCATAGAGTACTCATAGTATACAACAGCAATGTGAACATACGACATTCTTCAACACCAGATTTCTACCTACTGATTCTGAGAAGAGAGAAAGCCGATATGCCTATGATGGAAACACTCCTGCCATGTGACACACACTGAGCGCATGGCTAGATACATCTGTCACTTTTCTGGTTTTTCTCGCAACCCTAATGGCTTTCGCATTTGGTGTCATCCTTGTCGAGTGGAAGGGAGGTGGAAACATACGGCTTACGCTTGGCGAAGCTGTTCAAGACCTTATCTTTGCAAGAGCTCCCCTGAACAAGGACTTTGTCAATAGGACCAGGAATGGGACATGTGTGGATCGTGTTGTTTTGGTTCTACGGAAAGAGCAAAATATGTACGAAGGCGCGACATGTGCACTAAAACTAGAACGTGCTACTACTAGCGTGAGAAGGAAGATGGGATGAGAACTTGGCTGTTAAGATTTGTCCTCACGTTTTTGAGATTTGTTTCCCGCGCTAGTCACGTGTGTACTAGCGCAAGCGTAAATTATAGTAGCCAATGCATTCACCGTTCAACCTTTTAGAAGAAGGTTAAAGCTAAATTGTTTATATTGTGAACTTGTCAGCTACTATTCCCGTCCCTTCTTATGCGGGCCAAGGCTCTTCCAGACCTCACGAGCTGCCACCGTTACAGCACATTTGGGCCGCGGTATTCCGGGGCTAGTTCTAAAGGGTGAAGGATGTTGTGGCACGATATAAGATCGAGCTCAAAAGATCAAGGGACGACACCCAACCGAGCTGCTAGAGCTGGGCCCAATCTAACCGCTGCAATATAATTGATTGAAGAAAGTGTCTATTTGCTCCGAAAAGAAATACCAATATATATCCGCGCGATACTATACCAAGATATGAAGAAAAGAAAAAAGGTGACCAGAGTGGGTGTGCAAAATTATCAGAGGGGGGCTGTGAAGCTCAACTCAACTCAGCTGGAGGTGGCTGATTGCACAGCCCGCAGTATATCAACGTGGGAAGGCTGGAAGCGAATTCCTAATAGAGCCAACTAGCAGGAAGGGCTACAAATTTGTATCGGCTTGAACCTTGCAATAACTCTTCAATCAACAGAACATATTTTTGCTTGTTCGGCTTTGAATTTGAACCCCCATTGCACCACTGCTACCTTACAGCTGTGAACTCTGGAACCCATTCCAGCCCATCAAGTCTAATGCCCTCGGCCTTCTCACCTCCCTGATTGCCATGATATCCGGGTCGTCAGAAGGACTTACACTTGAATGAATCAACCCATCATCATCGCACAACTGAATCGCTAGTATCTCCAAGGTAATTGGTGGCATACGATCTAGTACTTCACGCTCAACTGGAGTCCTATTTTCGTTTGTTAGCAGCGAAACGCCCATGGCAGAATACAGTAAAGATAGCAAAGGCAACGCACATCCTTTGGTAGAGAATCTCCTTATCCGTCTTCACCTTGAGCATCTCTGCTTGCATGTACTGATCGCTTCGGAGCTGTGATTCGAGATATGCCTTCTCCCATTCGCTCTGGAACACAGTCTTCAGCAGCGCGATTAACTGCGGGAGCAATGCTTTTGGTATGTTGTTAACTTCACATGCGAGGGTTATTGGATGCTCAGTGTATTTCACAATGAAAACGTCGCCGTAGTAAAAGCGTCTTGAAAAGTCAATGCGATCAAGGCCAAGCATTCGCTTGATGTAATAATTCTCTGGAAGATCAATGTTCTCGTTCCGATAAATCCAATAGTGCCCTTCGATCATTTTGGTGGGTTGATTGTGAACATTGAAGCATCTGAGTTTACGGTCAACGTGGTAGGCCGCCCAGTACTCACGAAAGTCAGGCACAATGTGGAGGCCGAGCTCTGGAATCCAGCGTTTGGACTCTGGGGGCTGGGCATGATAGGCAATAGGTACCAGTCTGGGCTCGCTTCCGTCAGCCGGTATCCGAAGTACCTGAACCGTCTTCAGTTTCGGACCAAAGGTGTCGCCATCTTCATCTAGTTCTTCTGCTGGCGTGCATGCGGTCTTGTTTCGTTCATGGGCGAGATACTCAAGCTTCAGCTTGGATGGAATTGCACCAGGTAATGCGCCTCCCTCAGACATACCAACAGAAGACTCTGCTATAGCTGGTTGGATTACTACTGAACCAGCAGAGAGAACTTGAAGGATGTAGCTGTGGGTTTGTATTAGTGCTGCAGCTATAGATATACCGATGCCTGGTGGTGCAGAAGCCGGGATAGATGGTAGTGTCCACAGCGGGTACACCTTTCCGTGAGACGTCCGAGCACGAAAAGCTGGGGTACGTATGCCGTCCACGGAAAGTCTGACGTAATTTCTAAGAAGTTCATTACATAAGAAGCATGGTTTCTTGCTGGTTCCGATGTAACCATGGACTCTTTGTTGCCACTTTAACTCAGATTCCAGATCTACAAGGATTTGCATCTCCGCATGAACATGCAACCACGATGCATTATAGTAGCGTTGAGCATGGCTACCTTTCGCGAGCTGCTTACGGTGAACTTTCTTGGCTAAGCTTCGCACCTGCTTGCAGAACCTGCTTGCTTCAATGCCGACTTTGTGGGGAGACTCCACCGACTTCCACTCAAGAGATCTAAACTCGGAAAAACTGAGCGCAGTCGTCTTGAAGCACTCATACGCAACACGGAGCCGGCTGAGCATTAAGACCGCCTTGGAGATTTTGGCGAAGGACGGTTCCTTGAGTTGATGTGAGTCAGCGCACCGCAGCCCATAGGCCAAGTCCACTGCTTCCCTAAGGGAAAGGATGCTTGGACTGTTGCTATATGTTCCACAGAGCTGGAAGAGGCGTTGAATCTGCCCAGTCGATGGGTCGTCAATATCTAGTCCCGAGACATCGACTTTGCATTGACTGATTTGAGAAACATAGAGCTCCAGCCTGAAACGGGCGTACCCGATAAGTCCTTCTTTGTCTGCTCGACTATCCCAAAGAAAGTCTTTCTCTTTTGAAGGAGTTCTACCCGTCATCGATATCACGCGAAGCCAAGTCTGTAATTGCCCTAACAGTTTGCGATCGCGCTCATCAAGGCCATCGTTCTTAGCCACAAGAATCGTTGTTGGATAGTCACAGCTGGGATTGATCCAAGCTGCAGCAGCTACGTGCTTTACAGTGGATTGTTTAGGGTGTAAGTTGGAGGTCTTTTCGCGCGCAAGCACTTCTGACAGTCGATCGAGGAATTTGTCTTTGAGAGCATTCCCAGTGGCTCGGTGAAGCTTTTCGCAAGCCACCGTCGTTTGCCAGTCATCGTCGATATCCTCTTCACTTGAACTATCATCGTCGTCTCCAGGAAGCACAGGGGTAGGCTGGCAAATAGATTGCTGTTTTGTGTACATAGCAAACAGTGCTGCTGTGGCCGCGAACCTTTGCTCCTCGATGCGTGCAAGGTGCCAGATATTGCTCATCATTGACAATGCTAGTGCTAAGATGCAGAATGGTAAGGCTGAATGTCGACTGCGGTTCACAAATAAATGGTCTGCACGAATGTGCCTTAGATTGGGGACATGTGGAGTGTGAACCTTGACGGGCGGCTGGATATACGTGGTGTGGGAAAGGCGATGTAATAGAGCCCAACTGCGCGCGAATGAGTCCGCTTAGCTAATGTGAGGGGCAGATACATTGTGGCAGTTGAGTTGATGAGTTGGCAGCAAGCGATAATGGTGGCTGTTATTGGCTGCCTGTTGGCTGTACTACGTACATTCTTCTGTGTTCAAGCCCCACCCACGGCGCTTAGCAGTACGTAGTACTCAACCTGTATCGAACTCTCATACAATAGCATTTCACAATCATGATTACACAAAGTGCAATAGTGTCTCATGAAATTTCTATTTTATTTGCTCTACTTTTCTAGAAAGAAGAAAAAGTATTGATACACCTGTAAGAGATCCATAGGGCATTCTAATCAATACATCATCATTAATTCCTATCATCTAGTCGCAAATATATATAAGCACTATAGTCTGATATCACTGCAATATCCAAAGCCATAGCTAGAGGTCTAACCGTTGAGTCCTGCAAGTTTAATTCCCCAATTTCTCAGCGATAATGTCCTCAGACAACTTCCACAGCCTTTCAGCCTTCTCCTGATCCACCGCCCACGCAACCGGCTCCACAAGCTGATTATCCTCCAACCACACCCCTTTCTCAGGATTCAATCCAGGGTCTGCAGCCGCAAGCAAAATCGTCGAACTCCCCTGATCAATAGTCTTCGTGAATAGCTTGTCAAATGCCGGCACAGCCTTGATTATTGCTAATGCTGCTGAACTTCTCACCCTTCCCGGATGAAGCGAGAACGAAAAGATCCCTTCTTTGGCAAACAACTTGTTGAGGTGAACCGCGAGAAGCAAAGCGGCGGTCTTGCTCTGCCCATACGCAACATAGGCATCGAATTTATCGGTTGCAGGGATTCCGACCACACTAGTGATGAGATCCCAGTTGGGCTTCTCGTCGTCGGGGAGTTCCTTGTCGAGGTCGAAGTTCCAGTCGCTGAAACGGAAGGGGCTGTAGTGGGAGGCCTCACTGCTCACAGGAATGATGCGCGTTGCGCCAGGAGGGTTTACCTTGGCGGCGGCAAGTAGTCGTGGGAGGAGCATCTTGGTGAAGAGAAAGTGACCCAGGTAGTTGGCCGCGAGATGCGTCTCGATGCCGTCGACTGTTAGTTGACGCTCGGCGTTCCCGAATTGGCTGCCAGCATTTTCGACGAGGATGTCGATTTTCTCAATGGATTTTTCATTAAGGATGTCGTTCGCGGCGCGCTGGACGTCTTTGAGGGAGGCAAGATCAAGAACGACATTGAAGAACTTTGTAGATGGGTAATCCGCCGAGATTTCTTTAGTCAGGCTTTCAACTCGGGCTTTGCTGCGCCCAGTTGCGATGATAAGAGATGCACCTCCATGGGCAAATGCGCGAGCAGTAGCCTCGCCAATGCCTCCAGGGGAGACACCAGTAATGAGAATCGTTTTGCCAGTAATTTGGGATGAGTAGGCTTTGGCGATTTCCAAACCGCCGATTTCTGCGGTGAAAGACTTGCTGGTAGCCATGGTTATCTGATTGATAGATGCAGGAATTTGTTGGAAAGAGTTTTCTTGTTCTTGATGGTAATGAATTGAAGCTATTGATATGATTATTTTGGAAGAAACTCCATATCCTTTATACATGCACTCTGATTCCCAAGGTGGTGCCCAGCCGGACCCATGACATAACTGAAGCATTGAGATGAGAAGTCCGTCTTCGCTGTGTATTCTGACCAGATTCCCCGAATGTCATCAGTATGAAACCCACATTGTTGACGCGCAACGTACGAATCCTACACCACTTAGAAATCCGCTTATTAATTCTGATAGATTTATCGCAGTTCGGCCTGATTGATTTCCCGTTTCTTTTCTGACCAAGAATTGCACATTGGGAAAACGGGCCAAATATACGCGCGTTGAGGAAAATGGACGAAAATCGGCGCATGAGAAAACTCCGAAATAGCGGCGTAACCCACATCCCATGAACAACCTCCCACGTTAACACTAAGTTTTACGCGTTGTGAGTAGGCCCCTGCGATTTAACTTACTTCTTGGAGTAGTTGCTAGACTTTGTTCAGACCCTAAATCACGTGTAAGTCAAGCTGGTCGAGGCCGGCCGATCATGAGGAGCGTTTCTGATAAGGCGGCTAACGTTAAGTTTTCTTTCTAAGTAACGAATTAACCAACGTGACTTGGGATAAACTTAGATAATTATTACTGAGAGACGAATGTCTACATGTCTCTAATGTGCAGAGGTCCCGTTCAGAGAGTTTGTCTAACGGTAATCTTGGCGCTTCAGTGCAACTCTTCTTAGCGTAACCTGGCTCGGGTCCACTTAGGCAATCACATGTCTCAAAAGGTACAGTATACTGCATAGCAGTATCTGACAGCCGAATAGCTATATACGTGTGATAGTAAGGCAGGCACTATAGTAGAGCAGCAGCTACAGAATCGACGCACGCTGAGCCTGACGTTATGTAGTGGCGCTGTGCTGGGATCGAAGGTTAGAAGGAAAAGCGTCCTGTCGCACAGGGTGTCCCACAACGCAGGAGCGGATGGTATTCTATCTCTATTCAGCGCTAGCTAAGGATAAGCATACTAAGCCTAACTAGGTAATTGTAGTACGAGGCACAGGCCCCCAAGTATCTACCGCCCACTTGCGCGGAAACACCATCCAGCCTAACACCAAAAGAACCACAAGCACCTCCAGGCTCTACTTGACCTTCAGTATGGATACTAATGAAACCCATACTTATTCGGCATTTGCAGATCTTCTGGCAGAATCTTCACGGGTTCTATGCCTCGTCGGTGCTGGACTCAGCGCACCATCTGGCCTAGCCACCTGGCGTGGAACAAACGGGCTATGGAATGATATCAATCTGAAAGAACTTGCCTCGCCCAAAAAGTTTCGAGAAGATCCAGTTACGGTGTGGAGCTTTTACGGCGAGCGTTTACTCGAGGCGTTGCAAGCGAGGCCAAATGCTGCACATCATGCGTTGGCGGCGCTTGCTAATTGGCATCAAGGATGGCTGACTATTAATCAGAACGTTGATGGTACGGAGAGTAGCGTAGAAGAAACGATCGCCTAGATGCGCTAATAAGAGTTCAGGGCTTCTTAAGCAAACCGGTCATCCCATGTCAAGACTACTGAACATTCACGGTACATTAAGAGTTGTCCGATGTACTACATGCGATTACTCTATGAACGTCCATAAGCCGGAAGACGTTCCATTCCTGCTTTTACTATCTAATACTGATCATGAAGCGCGTCCAGTCGTGTTATCTGATCTTCCCCATTGCCCCCAGTGTGCAAATCTATTGCGCCCAGGAGTTGTTTGGTTTGGCGAGAGACTTGCTGCTGGCGCGCCAGATAGTGTTGATGAGTGGATGTCAGAAGAACATATTGATTTAGTGATTGCGGCTGGGACTAGCTTGCAAGTTTTCCCAGCTGCAGAGTGGGTAAGCACCGCGCGAGCGTATGGAGCATCTTTGGCTGTTATCGATGCGGGATACTATGGAATAGTGGATGATTTCGATGAAGGTGACTGGCTCTTCAAAGGTGATATCGGGTTTGTTCTTCCTCAAATAGTCGATATTCTCAATTCATGAGTCCATGAAAGAAAATCTTGTTGATTATAACGCTTTTTACACAGTATCATTCCACCGTCGTAAATGTTGTTGCAAGTGGTTCCTCACCGATGACGGGACCAGAGGAGAGAGTATCGCTTTAATGCCCTGCCCTTTCTGTCAGAGCTAATAAGCAGCTTCCCGATGGTAGTACTACATGATCTTCATAGCTCATATATTATACTAATCTCTCTACTGATTAAGAAGTTGCATAAGAGAAATGTTCTACATCTAGAAATCAAGGGATATTCATCACGAAATAAAAAACACAAAACAGAAAAAAAGAGTCGTCACCCTCATCTCCACATCATCAATCCAACCCCCTCCAACTCATCTTCCTCAACTTCGGCCCATAAAACCACAACCCAACAGGCCCCACTAACCCAAGTCCCAGCGTCAAAAACGCCAACAAACTATTTCCCCATCCCAACCCCATGCTCTCATACATCTGCGGCGCAAACAGCGGAAAGCTAAATCCGCACATGGTCCGCATAAACGCCCCCACGCTCGCCGCCGACGCCGCATACCGCGCTTCATACGCATCAGTTGTATACGCCTGGCTACACTGGAACCCAATGATGAGACCCACAGCCACAATCGCAGCACCGATGTTCGGTACGATCCAGTGGACGTGATAGTGTGCCGTCCAACCGTATACGAAGAGCCCAATGGGACACAATATGCCTGCGATGAGCATGGGTGGGACGCGGAATTCAGGGAGGCCTTCGGTGAGGTTGTAGTAGGATTTCATGCGAGCATACAACTAGTGTTATCGTCAGCGCCTGCTCAGCCCACTATGTGAAGAAGCGAAAGAAAGAGGGGAGAAACCTACCCCGTCCATAAGCGGATGCGAAATTTGTAATCCCACCATAAACCCCAAACAAAGCGAGAGGTAGTTCAAGGATGCGTTTCCAACGCTCATGTCATACGCTTCTTCAAACACCAGTGGAAACGTCGACAGCATAAGGTACATAACCCCATACAAAAACGCCCGATACACCGACGGCGCCTGCGTCGCCGGATGCGTAAACATCATTATAAACGGCAATACCAACCTCTTCCTCAAAATCCTACTCATACGATCTCCCGTCTCGAACTCCGTGCGTACAACCGCACCCTTATCAGCCATATTTCTCCGAATCGCTTTTGCCTTCTTAGCAAGGATAGCAGGGGCAAAAGTCTCAGCGAGGAAGAACAGCGCGGTGAGCTGCACAAAGACAGTAAAGATAGACGTAGCATAGAAAATCCAGCGCCAGCTCGCCCCCGTCGAGATATATGCGCCGCAAATGGGTGCAATGCACGGTGCAAGCCAGGTAAGAATCCCATAAATAGCCTGACCCTTTCCGCGCTCTTCTTTGCGCCAGGTATCTGCTAGCACACCACTACACAACTATTATCCCCATCAGCAAAAGCTCCCTCTCACATTACAAACTTCTTCCACAAGTACTTGGAAAAGAGAAAGAGAGAGAAAAAAAAACTTACAGCCTGCGGCGCCGCACCCCCCAACCCACTCAAAAACCTAAACGCAAGCATCTGCGGCCCCGATCGCGCAAACCCACAACACGTATTGAAAACGAGGTAAACCAGATTTGCCCACTGCAGTACTGTAACGCGGCCGTAGATTTCGCTCAAGGGGGCGAGTACAAAGGGGCCTTGGGCGTAGCCCAGCAGGAAAATAGTCATGACGAGTTGGCGTTGAAACCCTTCTTCAATGTTGAAGTCTTGGCCGATGGCAGGTAAGGCAGGTGTTACCATTGTGGAGGAAAAGGGTGAGATGAAGGTGAAGAGGGAGACGAGGATGGTGGTTGTCCATTTTTGGCGGTTGGACCAGTTTAGGGGGTTGGAGGGGTCGGAGGGGCTGTCCCAGGTGACCTGGGGTCTTGAGTTAGTGTGTGTGTGTGTGTGTGTGTGTGTGTGTTGATTGATAGATAGATGTGGAACGTACAATCACCTCCCTGCGTTTGATGTTATCTTCCTCTTCGATTAGATGGCCGGTGTCGTAGCGTGTGTTCGGGTCTTCGTGCTGATTCCACTGTCGGAATAACCGCTCTGTGCTTAGGATTGAATGGTCGCTACGTTCAAAAGACCATCTGGGTAGTACGAGGATATCTTTTGATTCGTCTGAATCGACAGAAGGTCTTCTGAGTAGCTTGTCTTTGAGTCCCATGACTAGTAGTAGTAGTAGCGAACGACAAGGTGAAACGAATGTTGGATTGCGTGGAGATGATGACAGGATCTACAAATCTGATGCCTCCCTGCTCAGCCTATAATAAACATTCATCCCAACCTAGTCCATTGCACAACTATTTCATTACACTATAAGTTTTGAGGCAGTGTAGCAAGGCATGTGGTCGTTCCCCTGTACAGCAACAGCCACATACGTCCCAAAGTTGACCGAAAAGCCAGCAAAGACCCCCCTCCCCCCCCCTTAGCCCGAATGCCAACGCTCCAGGCAAATGCATCAGCCATGATTAGTGCCGGGAAAACCTCAGGCTGTGGTATAGGTAGGCAAAAAAAATTAAGAATAGAAACATGTCGCGTGAGCGCACAATAGCCAGCAAGGGCTTCAAGTCCACTGCCAGCCAATCGTAATGCTGCGGATACTCCCATGGGGACGGGAGAAGGCGGCAGGTATGTCGTGACAGCCTCATGGAGGACGTCAGCGATACGGGCTGTGTCCAACTACCGTGCCAAGAAGGTACATCTTGGTAGTTTCGCTAAGTTGCTTGGTGAAGGCACGTGAGATTACTGCCATTGGCCCGACGACTACGGTCAAGAAATAAAACTGGAGATGTCAAGAACACTGGTACGCGGGCCAATGCAAGATAGAGGACAAGTCTACCGCTGAGAGGCCAAAGCATCCGCCATAGATTAGTCTTATGATCTTGGTCAAAAAGGGCTATGTTGTAGTCGTCATTCCTGGCTGTGCTGAACCTGCCATGATAGCTGCAGGACGAAATTGCGGTTTCTCGACCAAGGCGCAAGTTAGTCCGGTCCGAAGTGGCGCTGCTATGATGTGCTGGTCTTGAGGCTTGAACCAATTCCTTAGGCGTTGCTCGTGTGGTGTGATGCACCAGGAATAGGACCAGCCTGTGGCCTGCATCTTGTGATTTGAGAAGTTGCAACTTCATACCGGCAAGACTCGAGACAAAAGCTATAAGTAAGCCGTGTGCCTGACGAGGAGATGATATCCAGCATCGGATATTCAATTCACTCGCTCTATATCCACGTACTCCAACTCTCGTTGCACAAATAACACTTCCACGATACCCTTTTCTGTTCGCGATACCCCAGTTACTTAGCGTTCTACTTCCCTAGTACCCAAAAAATGATTATGAGCCCTCCTGTATCCATGGAGCCCTTCGCTCATGCTGGTTCACCAGCAATTTCAAGGCGTCTGTCTCAAATGCCGCCTCTCCGTTCGCTCAAGACATTCAACTTACCCCCGGAACAAGTGGACGAACTGATGCACCCCGCCTCAGCCGTGTCACAAACTCCCACTTCAGAGATCTTGAAAGGGCACCCACTCCGTGTCCTGATAGCCCCATCAGGTTTCAAGGAAAGTTTGGGCCCAGAACAGGTTGCTGATGCTATCGAATCAGGCATCACCAAGGTCCTGGACAAGAGTTCCGTCATACTGCGCAAGTTACCTCTGCACGATGGCGGAGAAGGCTTTGCAAAGGCACTAGTGGCGAGTCACAATGGTAGCATCATTGAGGAGTCAGTCTTGGGTCCTGTCGGAGAACCTGTCGATTCTCACATAGGCTTCATTGGTACCAATAAGGAGACGGCCGTATTAGACATGGCCGCTGCAGCAGGCCTCCGTCTTGTCCCCAAGCATTTGCGCGACCCAACCGTAACTACTACCTTTGGTGTCGGACAATTGATGAAAATGGCACTTGATGCAGGATGCACCAAGATCATCATTGGGTGTGGGGACTCGGGTACATCTGATGGTGGAGCCGGTATGCTCCAGGCGCTCGGTGTCCGTCTTATAGATGTAGACGGCAATGACTTGCCCATGGCAGGTGGTGGTCGTTCCTTGTCTCGTCTAGCCAGCCTGGACTGGCGCGGTATCCACCCTCGTTTGCGTGAAGATTCCTGTAAGTACATACTTCAACCCCCGAACACGAACAGACAACTAATTCAGCAATAGCCGACAAGGCTCAGATAGAGGCTGTGTGCAATATCAAGAACGTACTCTGTGGTCCCAAAGGCGTCGCGCGAGTTTACGGACCGCAAAAGGGCGCTACGCCTGCCCAAGTCGACTTGCTGGCAGCAGCGCTCGAGCGTTTAGCCCGAGTGGCTCATACAAAACTGGAAAAGGACATTTCGCATAGCCCAGGGAGTGGTGCAAGTGGCGGCCTTGGAGCAGCCTTGATGCTGCTTGGCGCTCAGCTTCGAGCGCGTGGCGAGGCTATCAACGAGTACTTTGAAATTGATCGTGTTCTGGATCAGCAATGGGACTTTGTTATTACCGCCGAGGGAAGCCTGGACTTCCAGTCACCAAATGGGAAGGTTGGTCGATATTCATTCTTGTGGCGTTTGAAAACTGGCTGATAGCAATAGATGACGACAGAGATCGCCCGCCGGGCAAGGCGGAACGGTGCGCAGGTGGTTGCATTGGCTGGCACGATTGGAGAAGGAGCAGACGGTTGCTACGGTGCTGGTATCAAAGCATTCACAAGTATTCTGAGAGGTCCCTTGTCGCTAGATGAGGCAATTGTGCAGACGGAGGCTTTGGTCAAGGATGGTGCTGAGAAGGTGATGCGCATGATACTGGTGGGATTGGCCCTTGGGCGAGGTCGGTGAGGGAGGTGTTCTTGGTGCACTGCCATGATCAAGGGTATTGGCGGCTTGGTATGACCGAAATGCGATGACGTGTCGCGTTTTGCTACCAGTACTGTGTATCTCTTTCCATGTTTGATTGATGCAAGTCTGGTGGTGTAAATAGGAAGTGTGTGGTTAGAAAGATGCCCCGTATTTTGTTTAAACCAATTCATACTAGCTTCAACCCCATATCATAACAAGCCTGCGCAGCAGCAAAATCATTGCCCTATCAGTTTATACCTATTTTATATATAATATATGTGCATAATGATGTGAAGTTAGTCGTTGTATCCCGCCCTTTTGTTTCCAGATGCCCCATTATACTATCCAGTCTTGCGGACTCCTCAGGCCCTTCTGTACATCAACGCCCTCCGTCTCCTTCGCCTTCTCATTCACACTTTCCATTTCGAAACCTGCAACCTTTTTGTATACTCTGCCAATTTCCTCAAGTTCATCTTTAGGGATAACATCGTAGACGTTCTTGAATCCATCCGGCGCTCTTTCCTCTGCCAACTGCAGCACGTGATCTGGTCCGTTGGCGCGATTCGCCATGACAATCTTGGATGTTGGTGGGAGTCGTTCAAGCTCGTACGCCTTGAGTGCACCCTGAATATCCGAGGTGTTGGATGAAAGGTGTTTGGCGAGCGTCTCGGCGTCAATGATGGCTTGGGACGCGCCGTTGGAGCCAATGGGGTACATGGCGTGTGCTGCGTCACCGAGAAGTGTGAGGCGACCAAAAGACCATGCCTCGACTGGATCGCGGTCTGACATGGGAAACTCAAACACCTTCTCCGTATTGTCAATGAGATCTTTCATCTCTAGACCTCCGCATCTCCATGACTCAAAGGGTCCTGCGAAAATATCCTTTTTCACGGCTTTGGTCCAGTCCGTCTTGGGTGGCGTGAGATCCAGATCGTCTTTGGCGCGTATTCTAAGCTCTGCAATCCAGTTGACCATACTCTTGCCCTTGTCGGCAGACCTTTGACTAATGGGATACGCAATGAACTTTTGGTCAGCATGGCCCGCCCAAACCATGCTCGCGCCCGTCAGATACTGGTCGCGCTCGATGCATCCACGCCACAGCATGCGTCCGGAGAACCGGGGTGGTCCCTCATTGGGGTAAAGTATCTTTCGCGCTGTCGAGTTGATACCATCTGCAGCGATCAAAATGTCGCCAGTCACACTCGACATGCCCGCTGGTTCTCCGTCTCTTCTGCGCGAAAAGCGCGCTGTGATACTGTCATTGTTCTGATCAAAAGCCGTAAAAGCATGATTAAGATGGAGCACATCTTCGCCAAGGCGCTCTTTCACCGCACTCAGAAGCAACATCTGAAATTCTCCGCGATGAATCGAGAACTGTGGGACCGCGTACCCTGCGTTACGGCCTCTGGGCTCGCTAAGGATAGAGTCTCCATGTCGGTTGTAAAAGTTTAGCTCTTGTGTTTTGATGCCTGTTTTCTCCAAGGCTTCCAGGAGACCTAGGTTGCGCAGTATCAAGACAGCAGAAGGCTGCACATTGATTCCGACACCTAGCGTTGTGAGAGTCGACGACGCTTCAAAGATCTGAATGTTGTTGAAACCGGCGGAATGGAGCGCTAACGCTGTTGTTAGACCGCCGATACCGGCGCCTGCAATGAGGATTTTCGGTTGCGTCCCTGAGTGCAGAAACGGCATGGTATCAAAATGATCTGGTAAAGTATGTATAAAGAATGGGTAAAAATTGTGTCAAGGTCAAACAAGTCAGCAATGGGTTACGTTCGAATGACTCCCGCCGTGTGCGGAGCCTGCCAGGTACGAGCTTTTTTACTGCCGACGTTAGGTGCCACGGCTGAATTCCTTAGTGCAGTGTAACACGGGCTGGAATTCACTCCGGTGCGGAGGTAATTTACAGCCATTGGTTCGGTCCGGTCTTACATTGTGCGTTGTGTGGAGTGTGGGGAAGTAAAAACGTTTTCGAGTGACCAGTGGGGCGGAGCAGAAGCCGAGATTGGCCTGTGGTTGCAGTTTACGACTGCTCAATGTCCATAGTATTTTTAGTGAAGAAAGTGAACGGCAGAGGTGCCAGGTTCGAGATTGCGACTTGTCTAATACCATTCACACATTAATTTAGCCCACTGTAATGACCCATTCTGAAGCCTCGAGACGCCCAAACAATGTTAGCCGGGGTTATGGCAGAAGTTAAGGAGCGTAGTCCTCATTGCCCTCTCGGTCAACTCTAACATATTTGACTTTGTCCATACCGTGTGTGAAGCGGAAGTGACCTATAGATAGGCACTTAGCGTTATCTCATAGTACCTGGTCAAGACATTTACTTACATTTGTCTGCGAATGAGCAGTACCCTGTTTCGCGTTCCTGAGGACACTGGTGTCCCAGATCTAGGACGACAATCTTAGCATAATTGAAACGGCGACTGGGAGGCTATTGAAGCCGCTTGCTACTGGGGCAGTACTCACAACAGTCAATGTCTTCGCAATATCTGTTCTTGCAAGGCAAGGTACGTGCTTTATGACGCAAAACATTCAACTCAGCGGCCGGTAGCTTCGGTTCGTGCTGGAAATGGCAAAACTTTCCATTCTCACACTTTCCGTGGAGATGCCTGCGTGCTGTCTTAGCATTGCACATACGGCCGGCATATTATATCGCGCCTAGTACATACCAGTTGTTACACAAATTTTTGCGCAGCCTCTTCATACGCGCGTCGAGCGAAACAATGGCAGCGGAATCTTTTGGAGGAAGCGCCTCGTCCAATCTTTGCTCCGCTTTGTTGTAATAAGCATACTTCTTCTTAGTGTTCTTCTTAGTATTAGGCGCGATCGAGACACTGCCCGTTGGGGGAGCGCCAGTCTTGCCCACAGTGGCTACAAAACATATGTCAGCACTGTCATTCCTCTCTTACAAGAGGATCGCGTAGTGCTCGCGTGATAGTTGTGTGCTTTGGGTAATTCAAGGATGGGACGCGAAGCGTATGCAGCATATTTGCATGAAGTTACTTACCCCAAGATGGGTCTCTATTTGACTCGTCAGGCTCCACAATCGATGTTGAGGCTACGCTAGGCACAGGTGAAGCTACAGATGCTCTTGAAGTAGTAGAAGGCGAATTACTGGGGTTGATAGTAATTGGGCGAACAACGGGCTGTACTGGGGGCTGTACAGGGGGCTGGGACGGTGCCTGATTAGCACCATTGACCCGCGGATTTTCAGGCAATTGCTCTGCTCTAAACACGTTGTCGAAGCGAGTGCGTCTGAAGTTGGTCAGTGTGTTGAAACCTACGTATGCTGGCGTAGTCTCGAGAAAGGTAATGCGGCTAGCCTTGAGCAAGTTGTGCTTGAAGGGCTCGAAGTTTAAAAGATAGCCTGCATCGTGACAGCCACCGAAGATGATGTGCCGACAGGTAGGATTGTCAATAAAGACGCGGAGCGTTTCTATTATAACCAGTCAGTGGGTGGGGGAGCTAGTAGGATTATAGCCGGTGATACCCTTAATCTTATGGTCGGCTCTTTCCTTGCCGTGACCAACGTCGACGATACTAAACAAAGGCTGATTTACATTGAAATGCTGGACAAAACTTCGTAAATCCGAGGGAGAACGTAGAAGACCGACCGAGGCCAGCTTGATTGCGAGTTTATCGAGACTTAGATAAATCTGGACCACAACAGGCCAGTTGCTTGAGTTGTTGTACAACGAGGCAATGTGATCGCGAATCGCATGATACAAGCGAGAGGCGGCTTCGGAGCCGCCATCACCATCAGCAGCTTGGAGTAGAGCATTTTGAAACTGTACAAAGAGTTTTAGTAGGTGTTTCAACAGGTAGAAACTAGTAGAGCCACAACTGGCGCTAGCATAAGTAGACGGCCTGTGAAAGGCTGCCGCTATAGGTAAGGGGCGAAGTAGTAGGGAGACCCCAGGCATTTTAGTCGCCCTCAAAGCAAGTGCAATAACAAGGTGAATGACAAGGAATTTACTTACAATAGCCCCGTCTCCATCAATTAGAGCCAATACAAAGGAACCCGCATCCTGTTTGGAAAGTGAGAAGGCAACTACTTAGGCAAGGCTGAGGCTCCAACGTACCAGCTGACGTTCGCAGTCGGCCACCAAGGCCAATTTCTCTTCAAGCGTCTTTTGATAATTTCTCCGGTTATCTCTTTCACTCAAGTAGTCACTCTTCAAATCGGAATACTGCTCGGACAAAGCTTCGTATTTGGCTACAAGCTCCTGTTCTCAGAGCTCTTTATTAGTAAGAAAAGAGTAAGGGTGGACACGCGGCCGGGGGCAATGGCGCGACGTACGCTAACAAACTGCTCTCTCGCTTCGTCTGATGCGCGGAACCTCTGCATCTGCTCCTTGAAGCTACCATAGTGGTTTGGTTCAGACATTCTGGCGCGCACCTAGAATCGTCGTGGTCGATGGCGGTTCAGAATGGGGAAGGCAGCACTGTTCGCGTGTGCGTTTGGGAGGGTGGGCGGCAGTAACGCAAGGGGGACTAGGGTGTTCAGTCAGCCCCCTTGACAACCAGAGCCTCGCTTTGCTTGCCCGTGCTGTGGCCAACTGACAAGCAGTTACGTGAGAACAAGGCGCTGGGTGATAAACACTTGAGATACCGGACGGATGCAATGCTGGTGTTTGTGGGTGAGCGTAAGCGCCCATCTATTCCCCAGGTGCGGTGTAACGTACCTCTCAGCATGGCGCAGTCATTTTTCACGCATAAGGGCGGCTGCAGTGGGCTGTGAGCAGAGGCGTAGGCGAGCGTACTCATCTACTTATCGTCCAACGCATACTGCGCGTGTCAGCAGAGACGGTCATGGTGGTCTACTGTCCCTCAAGTTGCCCCGCTGCATGAATCGTTCGTGTACGCTGGTAAAACTGTCTTGGCTTGATTCTTTGGGGTTTGCTACGTACCAAGCAAGAGGGTGAGGCTGCAGCTGGGAGTCGGCCGCATGAATTGCTAACCGCTCGTGTTACTATTCATGGCATGGAATGTGCTGAGCGCGGCTTGTACATCCGACATGTATGCACGTGTTCAAACGCTGTTCAGGTCTGGATCGGAACATGTCGTCGCATTGTTCGCTTTCCTATATACCTAATCGGTAACGTCCCATGTCCTCACCCACCAAACATTCCCCGCAATGACACCAGCTACCTATCATGAAGCTCACCAGGAGCCACCAGACTTGGATGCAATGAGAGCATATGGGGCTGCTCCCTGTAGTGCATATAAGTATGCCTGGAACCAAGCTGTTGTGCGCTCATCGCATGAGCAACTGAATGCTGCGCGTCCATCTTCGACGTCTCCACTCTGTGCATAGCTTCCTGCAGCTCCCCAAGCATCATTTCCAGACCTTCATTACCCTTCCCCGCTACACATCAACAATGGCGACAACCAAAAAAGCACGTACACACCCGCCATACGAACTACTATATTGGCCAGAGATTCCTGGGCGCGGCGAGTTCATCCGACTGGTCTTTGAGGCAGCACGTGTCTCTTACAAGGACCCCGCCAACGAGCCTGATGGGCGTACGCATACTCTCCAACACCTCACCTGCAGTCCAGGCTAACATTTATTTTGGAACAGCGGGTGCGCAAGTCGTCGTTTCCTTGACCTCGGGCGCAGATGACAAACCACCCGTCTTCGCCCCACCTGCGCTCAAGGTGCCTGGCGAGGGCAAAGATGGTGCTCCTCTGCTCCTCTACCAGACCCCAACCATCCTCTCATATCTCGGCGACAAGCTGGGCCTCGCTGGCCAAGATGAGGTGGACAAGACGACTGTCTTATCCCACGCCCTCACCGCCCTGGACCTCAACAATGAAACCCACGACACCCACCATCCCATAGCCGTGAGCAAGTACTATGAGGACCAAAAGGATGAAGCCCTCAAAAAGGCCACAGAATTCCGCGAGAACCGCATCCCAAAGTTCTTCTCTTTCTTCGAGCGCGTTTTGAAAGCCAATGAGGCTCAAGGACAGGGCAAGTTCCTCGTTGGCAGCAAACTAACCTATGCCGATACCACCCTCTGGCAAGTCCTGAGCGGCCTCAAGTTCGCCTACCCCAATGAGCTGAAAGCCAGAGAGAAGGACTACCCGTTGCTGTTTGGCTCCTTTTACGAAAATGTGGCCGAGACCAATGGGATCAAGGAGTACCTGGCGAGTGAGAGAAGGCTGCCGTTTAGTATGGGAGTCTTTAGGCATTATCCGGAGCTTGACCGGTCTTAGACACACTAGTCACTGCCAAAGCACAGCCATCACACTAAAGAAAATCAATTGCAGTGGTATCTTGAAGAGGCGCCCATTACAGGCTCATGTCATCTCATTCACATTCCTTTTTGATGCCGGTACATGATGCATATCCGAAGCCCTGCCGTACTCCTGAACCATGTAGATATAACGAGACCTTACCCAACAACCCGTCTACACTTAGTAGTCGGTCTGCTGGCTCTGGGGGAACTCGAAGTTGACACCCTTGCCAGTGAGGCGCTTGTAGACCTCGCTGTAGGTGTCGAGCCTGTAGTCGACACCACCACGCTCCTTCTCGTCGAGGACAACCTTGAGGATCTTGCTGCCGTCCTCACGGGTACGGAGACGCTTGCCAACAATCTCGACGGGGTAGACAAGATCGGTAAGGATGGCGTCGTGGACAGCAGTGAGAGTTCGCGACTGGGGACGCTTCTGGGTCTGAGAAGTGCGGGAGCGGTTGGAACGCTTGGGGCGGGGGAGAATGCGGCGGGAAGCAACGATCAGGACGTGGCGGTCAGAGAACTTCTTCTCGAGCTCACGGGTGAGGCTGGATATTGTCAATATAAGTCTCGGTAGAGCTTGCCAGGAAAAGCATACCGCTGCTGGGCCTTGTGCCAGTTGGAGAGAAGGGGAACTGGGACGAAGATGACAATAGCCTTGCGTCCGTGGCCAACCTCGATCTAAGAATCCTGGTGTCAGCGTATTGTTGCTGCCCAGTGCCCACCGCCTCTTCAGATTGTAGGGTATGGGTGTAGGTGCGTGTGCTGGCGACGCTCGAGAGCGCATCGTCGATGGATTCGGGTCTATCATACCTCGCGAGCAGAGACAAACTGCAGAGGGCGCAGAGAAGCCTTCAGGTCAGGGACATTGTTCTCGAGGTCAGTCAACGCCTGTCGCATGTGTTAGCAATGCTGCCGCCGGTGCGCACAATTGAGCATGGTCACTTGCGCTGGCGATGCTGGTCTCGATCTCAGAGGGGTTTTGCCTGGAAGGGCTGTTGGGCGCGATCTTGTTCAGCGAGTTGGCGGACATTTTGACGGCTTGATGTCTGGTCGGAGTCGTTGAAAGTTCGTGATGTCGAATCCCGATTTTCAGAGCAGGAGCGTGGGTTGCAAGCGAGGCGCTAGTCTACTTTAGCGCCAACCGCTGCCGGCGGAAGAAGCGATGCGACCAGACCCACACAGGCACCGCCAAGATATTCAGAGTCTACGGTCGTTGCTTCAATTGATACTATGTAATTTTTCCTTCAACTTCCACCATCTCTGAAATTGTAATTCCACGTTACGGCAAAGCCCTTTACGAAGTTGCTGTGATAGACTCCCTCGTCTACTCCTTAGACTTGTATATCGGAATTGCCCAATACAACATCCCATTCATTATCGCCGTCGTCATTGGTCCTACCCAATGAATGTAGTGATAATCGAAGCGATCTCAAGTACCGTCAGCTAGAAGCGATAGTTGCAGAAGCTTAGCATACTCACTCGTTGCAACCATAAGACCAAGGCACCGTGCCGGATTGCATGCTAATGACTGTGAGCTAACCTGGACTTCTTCTCACATATCAATAGAATAAACCTACAAGCTCCACTATATCCAGGCCGTACTATTGAGGAGACGAATGTACACACAGATTGCGTCAGACCAACCTTTCAACCCTTTCAGCTCTGCAGTAACGCGTCTCAAATGAACGGCAAAAGTACGTACCAGGATTGGCGACAAAGCTGGCCCAAAGACTTCCCTCTGTCTAGGATCGAGGCCTACTCCAAAGGCAACAAATATCAGTCCAAAGGACGTCATAGTCTCCAGAACATATCTGCAAAGTCAACGACTGCAACGAAGTCACGAATTTCAAACTCACGCTTCGCCCGGTGTGACCAGATCAGTGTCAATATAGCATCCCGGTATAGGCGGAATATCATGCGGTCTCATCCCCAAACTCGCCCGGACCAGAGCGCCAGCCACCACAGCCCCAGCACTCTGAAAAATAATATACAGCAGCGTCCTAGGAAAGATGGACAGCCCCGCCGTAAAAGTCGCCATAGAAATCGTCGGGTTGAAATGCGCTCCGGATACCGGCCCAGCCCCAAAAATGAAAAGTGCAATCAGCGTCCCGGTCACGATACTTCCAAACGCAGCTGGCGCAACGGGTCCCAACGCCGTTGCTGTAACGAGAGAACCTAGACCAACGGAAGCGAGGCCGGAGAGGTAGGTTTGCAGACACGTTCCCACGCCTTCGATGAACGATTCTTTCCATAATTCTATGTCGGCGAATGCGCGGGGAGAAAACGATTGCCTCCATGAAAACACTGCTGCTGCATCCGGAAGTAGGTTGACAGAGGTGTCATCTGCTGGTACTGTGAACTCTTGGTTGCCGCCGATTCTGCCAGCAAACGGCCTCGAAGCTATAGCTAGATTTTTTTTCGATTTTTTCCTTTGACGCATCCCGCTACCCGCCCGAGAAGCCTCAACGTCGGTCATGTTGCTTGATCTCATTTTAGTTGCACGTTTGATGGTAAAGTTGAAGCTTTTCTCTTTTTCATATTCTCCATATAGTGGAGAGCAACTACTGGAGATGCGGTCAAGGGGATAAACAGCGCTATCTCCGTTAGCTAACTCAGAAAGGTTTCTCATAATACCTGAATAAGCAATGTAGTGCTTTTTGCTTATGCGACTATTATGTGACTAGGTAAAGTTGTGGTTTGACTGATATGTAAGCTGCTTAGTACGCCGGTCAATGCCGCTAAGTGCAAGTGCACTGAATCAGTACCTCCAAGATTCATTCACACCTCGATACATTGCCTGCGTATGAAATACATGTTGCGCATATGCGATGTGAAGTAATTTGTGAATTTCAGAACTTTTTTTGAAGTACTGGTATGGCCGGTACTAGATATGAACTTTACTAATCGTTAATCAAGACATTTGACACAGACACGACATACACTGTATGCGCTTCCTCACAACAATCATTCAGGAGTTCAGGAATAAAATATCATTTCAGTTTCACATGTCATCGGCTCATACTCGTAGAAAGGCTACACCGATTACTCATAACAAACTTAACAGGAAACCCGACAAAACGCCTCGCTGAACAGTAGATGGGGAATGCCGTGTTCATATCGACACGTACGCAGAGGATCATACTCCAAGGCAAGGTTGAGCGACAGAGTTCTGAACAAGGATGGTGCGCTGTCTTCCATCCTCATTCGGCCCTTTGGCAAACATCTACACCGTACGAGTGTACTACGTAGATACCGCCATGGACTACCACTGGTGGTCCAATCGACCGATTAAACGCGGGAACTTTTACTAACATGACGTTAGTATCCGCGATTTGTGCTGTCGGGCTGTTAAACAAGAACTTACGCTGCTGCCGCGCGGCGTCTCAGGCGGAGCACCATAATAATGCCGAGGATGCCAGTTGCAAACCAGGTGATCAAGGACAAGAAAGAGAAAGCCTGGGCAGCACGCCATTGGCCGCAGGTATCACCGCGCCTCAGTGACAAACCGCCCCATGCCCATGGGCTACCGCAGTTGGCGTCGTTGAACCAGTCGACGAGGAGTCCGAAGACAGCAGCCCAACCTGCTGTGAAGACTAAAACATTCACTATTAGCATACCACCAAGATGGAGATGGGGAATATAAGATGAACTCACTGAAATCGGAAATAAATCCCTTCATAGCAAACGTCGTGGGAATAGCCCAAATAACAGCGAAGATGATAGAAAGAGACGACCACACAAGAGCAAATATCAGTCGACCAAGAGGGTCCCGGTCATCGTCATCCCAACGGTCACGACGGTCACGACGGCCCCGCGGTCCACGATCTGGGTTTTCAATCTTGTAGACAAAGTAGGCAGTCAGGCCAAGAACGATGGCTGCAAATACAAATTGTGAAACTCGCAGAATGAGCGAGATGAGGCGTGAGAAAATCATGCTTGTAGGTAGTAGATTGGTTAAAGGCCGGAGTGGTAAGAGAGAAAATTGTAATTGGGGGAGTGTGTAGATGCTGATGTTCTGGTGGTTTTTTCTCTCTTTGGGTACAGTATTTTTATATGTATACGATCGTCCTTCACACTGCCTTGATTTTTTTTGGCGGAGAGAGCAACAAGGTCAGACGTCAGCCACGTCCGTTGCGTAGTCATCCGAGGGCACCGTGACCAAAACGTCCTCGTACTTACCATCACACGGGTTGTGCCCTCGGACTTCGTCAGCCATGTACAAACTCTTGGAGTTATCTTGGCGATGTGGCTAGATTCCTACGACTTTGACGATCGTTGGGTTTTGGTAAAGTTCTTGGCGAGTGAGATCACTTGGGCTTTTTTCTAATTGGGCATATCTGACGCGACGCGTGGCGCAGGGTGTAGAGCTTGGCGTGCGTGTGAACAGTAAAGTACCTAAATTCTTACTTTATGATTGGCGATGCCTTTACGGGTACGGTTTGGATGTTGTGCTGAGAGCCCAAGCCTTGGCCGGGTGTACATACGATGTTGGCAATTGTGTAGTACGTACTCGAAGGACAGCAATATATCCGAAGATTCGCAGATTTGACCGGCTGCAGTAAAGTTACAAACTAGCCACTAACAGCAGTGCAAGGGAATGATAGTGTGCCATCTTCGTTGGAGATGTTACGAACAAGTTAGTTGGAGAGCACCAGGCTTGTCGATCACAAATGCGACAGGGACTTTCCTAGGCGCATGATAACTAAGCCCCCTCACTTCGAACTTTAAGCATAACTGTGATTGCCGAATCAGCTTACTTGACAGACACGAGCTTCGGCCGTAACCATGCTTTTACTAGGGCTCTCATGGAGCGTCACCTCTTCATGACGTCTGTTGAGAGAGATCTGGTAATGTCGTGTATCCAGTACTACAAGACGGGCCCCGTCCTTGCGATCCGCAGGGATGCGAGGATTTTCCAAAAAAAGGACCGCTGCGGTCCTAAACAAGAATTACTCTGCATAGTGGTATGATTGTCGTACATCTTGGATGTGGGGCTACCCAGAAAGCGGTCTACCCCGCTACGAAGCGAACACGTGCTAGTGAATACCTAAGCCACCCTATGTCGGTCTGGGCAGGGTGGCTTTTTCCTTCTGCCACATCATCCAACAACCGGCTATATTACAAACAGCATGATTCGCGGATATAAAGCCTGTTGTTGTTTCATATATCTGATCTCTTGAGCCAATGAAGCGTTTCTCTCGCCTTGTTCTTTGCATAAATCTTCGCTTGAACTCAGCCACGAAGTGCATAGCCTCGAAATAGAATGCAAATCTTTGATGTACTTGTATCGTAGCAGATACGGTTGATCATTATTCAGGTCAATTATGGAGCTGAGAGACAGGAAGTTCAGAGTCTCATCGCCACAAGACTTACGTGGGGCCAACTGCCGAGCTTGACCAAAGCGTGCTTGAGATATGCTACCATAGTAGCTGGCTCGTCGTGGTTATTTCAGTTTATTATCTAGCAAGAATCTCGAGATGATTCACTGTAGCCTCGAAACGCTTTATTCATCGCGATTAGCAGATGTTGAACATGCAGATACCACCAAGTGGTGTATTTTCCTTGTGCAGAGACGATCATCGAACTCACCGAAGTACCTATCAACACACTAGCACACCTATCATCACCCGTGTCGTGAAATTCGTCAATCTCAAATAGTACTGTATACTGATTTTAAAAGAAACCAACGAACGTCGCGGCTCGATTATTTCTATCACCGAACCTCGTATTCTCAGAAATGTAGCTCACAAGCCCTCTCATTCCAGATTAACAAGAAGTGGGCACGAAAGTGACAAACGAATCATAGAAACTGCTTCAAAGTCGCTAAAGGTTTCACCGCACACAAACACACGATGAAATTCACCTCCTAGCAGTGCATACAATCGCACAATCAGCTAACCACTCAACACGAGACAACAAACCTACACAGAACCCACTCATCTCCACAACCACAGACATATCGTATATCCAACTGCCGCTTACCACCCGCATTTGCCAGGACTTCCTCTGTTATTAAAGCTACAATGTACTAAATTCAGCTTGTGGGTATACAATACATATGTCAACTGATATCTCCTATGGAGAGCAAAACATCCAACATAAAGATCAACCGTATTATTCGTGCTAGGAGTAATGTTCCTATGTAAAATGTAATAACAAGATGGTTTAGAGAAGAGCTGCATGCGACAAGTCATCCAAGCGTAACCAGGAGAATACGAAGGGTAAGGTTTTAAAGTTTTATTCTTATGCAAAAGGTCGTTCAGACCCGCGCTCTGGTGAATGATTTCTCACATCAAGAAGGGATTTTAACGCTTGTTTGTAGAACGAGGGATATAAGGTTTCCATTTGCTGGAAAGCTGATAAGATCCCTATTGTTTATAACCTAGGTTGACAGCTTACCATGATGCACAGGACAGTTCAAGACGAAATTATTTCAAACACGCATATCATTCGCTCAATCAAGACAGGATACAAGATGGCCAGCACAAGCATCGCACACAACCAAGCAATACGCATACCGAGAACACAATGCCTTGATTAACCCTGATACGCACCATCCCATATCCAAACGCCATGCAATATGCAATGCAAAACCACCTCTAATGACATCTCTTCCATCTCCCATTCCTACGCGTATCCATACAAAACCCCGCATAAACCATCTCTACAAGCGCATCATAAAACCCCCACCATGTATAATCCCACTCAACCCAACCACACCCACCAAAACAGCAATATAACAGCCGCAAAGAAGCCTACCCAAGCCTTCCACCCCACCCCCGTCTTCTCCGCCATCCGCAGCATACGCGTCATAGTGCCCTTAATCTTATACCTCGAATTCTCAAACTGATCGTTCATCTTTTCCGCCAGAGACGTAGAGTCGCGGATTTCATCGCCGATGAGATGTGTCAACTACCGTTCATTAGCCAAAAATCCTCTCTCTCGTGAAAAAAAAATCTCCCCTCCTTCCCAAGGGGAAAAAGAGAGAAGAGGGGCAAAACATACATCCTTCAACATCCTAACCTTACTCGTCAACACACCAACATGCTCGTCATTCTGACTCTCCAACTCATCCAGCACAGCCGCCGAATACTGGCCTCGTGAATTCGGCGTCGCACTCCGGAACATTGCATCATCTTTCCCTCGACCTACACCGTAGCCACTGCCACCACCGCTGCTACCCCCAGGATACAAATTCCCATTGCCGTGCGAGCTTGCGCCGGGGTAAGCGCCGAACCCCGGACTACCGCTTGGCGACGTAGGCGCAGTGTAGGCGTAGCCGCCGCCGCCGCTGTAGGGCGAGGCGCGGGCTTTGTTTTTGGATTTCGAGGGTGAGGCGCTGCGGTTGTAGGAGGAGAAGAGGTCGTCGCGGGCGTCTTGGCGGCTGAAGCGGTTAGACATTGTGTGTTTTGCGCCGCAGTTGGGGCGTGTGTCGGTTGGTTGATGCCTTTTGTTGTTGTGTTGTGCGCTCCCCCTTTTTTTGCTCCCCAATAGCCAGATGGTGTGTTTCAATGCCCTGATCCTTGGTATGCGGTCGTGCAGCCACTGACGTGTGTAGGTGTGGGTATGTTCGCAGACGCTATATGTAGGCCATGGGTTATGGTTCTCTTTAATGTGAAATTTGGGTCGAATCAGGCAACTGCGGTTCGCGCATCGGGTGTCGAGGATAGTTGTCGTGGCGGATGTTGGACGATTTTCAGGGAATGGAGGATTGGAGGGAGGGATTCCCTCGGAGCTTAGGACGGCTTGGGTGGTGCTAACGCCGGTCCTGCCACGGTTTGGTTCCCCAAGATGTTTAGGAACACGTTGGCTACAATCCAATGGCTGTGAGTAGTCGCACGTGTTCGGTTATTTGAGTGGCGCAAGTAGGAGATCTCATGAATATCAGCAAATGCAAAGGATAACCCAAGGCAGCAGTGCCTAGAATCACAATCTCATCGTCATGAACGTCTTTAGTATTTCCAACCTAGGGTCGCTATCTAGATGCGAAACCCACAGTCTAAGAAACACACAGGGAATACAAGTGATAAAACCCCAAGCCCCCCTCCAACTTATCTGTACAAGTACAAAGAATTCATCCGTTACATATCTGCATTCTTCGTTCCAAAGCGTAAAGTGCAGGCTTTTATATAAGTGGCACCAAAACATGACGAGACATTGCAAGAATGCGTGTTTGATGATCAAATGTAGGCATACTTCGTAGCGCCACGTTGATCCATATCTCCCAAGTCCAGCACCGGAGCCTTGGCCAAAAGGCAAGCGCAGATCTAGTTCTTGAGACCGATCTTGTTGAGCAGGCTGCCCGACTGTCCGCCAATCATGGCCTTGTTGTCAAAAACCTTGAGCAAGCTCTTCCAAACCTGTCCGGGCTCTTGGCTTGCGTCGATGGGCTTCCAGATACCCGTCTTTTGATAGTATGCGACGACTGGCGCAGTCTGGGCGTGGTAGGTCGCAAGGCGCTTCTTGAGAGTTTCCGCGTTGTCATCGGAGCGCTGGATGAGCGGCTCACCAGTGATGTCGTCGGTCATGGGCGTCTTGGGCGGGTTGAAGATCTTGTGGTAGGAACGGCCAGACGCGGGGTGAACAAGGCGGCCGGTGATACGCGAGACGAGCAGACCGTCGTCGATTTGCAGTTCAACTGCATGTTGGAGGGGCTTCTTGGTTGCGGCAAGCATGCCATCAAGCTTCTCGGCTTGAGTAACTGTTCGTGGGAAACCGTCGAGAATGAAGCTGTTAATAGTAGCCTTAGTATACGCTCGCAATGGATGCTTCAATCGAACACCAGGGTAAAACCTACCCCTTAGCACACTCCTGGTTGCTCTCAAGTTCTGTCTTGATCATGTTGATCATGATCTCGTCGCTAACTAGGCCACCGGCATCCATGATCTTCTTCGCCTCCCGGCCGAGGGCTGTCTTCGCTGCGACTTGCGCACG